TTTAACATACTATATTATTACAATTATTGAACTTAATTAGTCTAATGGAAAAAGAGAAATCTGATTATACTTCTAAAGGGCATTTCTCTTATGTTTGAGGTTGAACATCTTTTTAGTATGTTTGAGTCTTTTGTACGTCCTTTCTGTCAACATGTCCTTTGTGTGTTTTTCTTCTGAATTCTTGCTCTTTTTCTTATTGATTTGTAGGTACTCTTTATGTTTTAAGGAAAAGAACCCTTGTGATTTGTGATGTTACTTTTTTTATTTTGTTTTGACATTTGTCAGGAATAGTCTTATTTTTTATAATAGCTTTTCAGTAACTTTTTTATTGTTTTATAAGTTTTTATTTTCTTGAGGTCAAATTTATTAGTTTTTTATGGCTTTGGGTTTTGTCTTATTTTAAAAAGGCATTGCCAACCTTGAGATTATTAAAACAAAACAAACTCTACTTTTTCTTCTAATATTTTGAGGTTCACTAAAATTATTTTTTATCCATATGGCATTTGTTTTGATGTGAGAAATGTTTTCTAGATGGCTGCCCATCATTACTTATTGAATAATCTACCTTTCCCCCAATGATGTGCAGTACTACCTTTAGCTTATACTAAATTTCTATATATAATATGTTTGGGTTCGTTGTTGGATTGCTTTGTACCATATCTCTGTTCAGGCATCAGTGCCACTTTTTAAATGTAGAATTATAATGTTTTAAATTATATAGGGCTTTTAAAGAATTTTTTTGGTTTATTCTTGTTTTTCCATGTGAACTTTAGAATTATCATGTATGATTTTGTTTTTAAGTCCTGCTAGTATTTTAATTAAGCTTGTATAACATTTAAAGATTAATTTAGGGAAAAATAAAATTATTGTAATGCTTAGTTTATTTATTTAAGAACATGGTATGTTTTTCTCATTTGTTCAAGTCATTTTTGGTGCCCCTTAGTAAAGCATTTAAAATTTTCTTTGTATAACTCCTATTTTTTCCTTCTAAAGCTTATTTTAGTCACCTTATCATTTTTTAAATTATAACTGGAATTGTTTTCTTTCATTATATCTTCTGTTTTATAAAAGCCCATGGGTTTTGGTTATTGTTGTTGTTGTTATTATTATTATCTTTGAGACAGGTTCTCACACTGTTGCCCAGACTGGAGTGTAGTGGCATGATCATAGCTCACTGCAACTGCCAACACCCAGGCTTAAGTGATCCTCCTGGCTCAGCCTCCTGAGTAACTAGGACTATGAACATGGGTCACCACACCTAATATTTTTGTTTGTTTGTTTGTAATGGTGGTGTCTCATTATGTCACTCAGGCTGGTCTTGAGCTCCTGGCCTCAAGTGATCCCTCTGCCTCAGCCTACTAAAGTGCTGGGATTGTAGGCATGAGCCACCACATCTGGCCCAGTTTATTAATTTGATATGTAACTACTTTACTTAAATTCCTCTATTTTTTTAATAAATAATTTATAGTCTATTTTCTTGGATTTTCCTGGTATCCATTATCATTTGCAAATAATAACATTTCTTCTTTCTATTTTTATACTTATTTCTTTCTTGACTAAATTACGTTGGCCAATACCTCCAGAACAATGTTAAATATTTGTGGTAAAAAATGAACCTCTTGGCAGGGCATGGTTGCTCACATCTGTAATCCTAGCACTCTGGAAGGCCGAGGTGGGCGGATTGTTTGAGCTCAGGAGTTCGAGACCAGCCTGAGCAAGAGCAAGACCCCCATCTCTACTAAAAATAGAAATTAATTGGCCAACTAAAAATATATATAAAAAAATTAGCTGGGCATGGTGGCACATGCCTGTAGTCCCAGCTACCCGGGAGGCTGAGGCAGGAGGATTGCTTGAGCCAGGAGCTTGAGGTTGCTGTGAGCTACGCTGAGGGTATGGCACTCTAGCCCTAGCAAGAATGAGACTGTGTCTCAACATAAAAAAAAAAAAAAAAAAAAAGAACCTCTTGTTTTGTTCCTGACTTTATTATCAGTACTTCAAGAGTTTCCTTAATGCTAGCTTTTCAGTTGAGATTTTGTGTATCATATATTAAGGAAGTTGCATAGTTTTTGTTTCAAAATTTAAAAAGACTAAATTTGACTGGCTTTAAAAAAAAAAAAATTTAAAAAGAAATTAAATCTTAAACTGACAGCAAAGTTGCAAGAGCAGTACAAAGAATTTTGTTTTCCCTGAACCATTTGAGGGCTAGGTGTCAACCAACCTGATGTCCCATTACCTCCCTCCTAATACTTAAGTGTTTAGTTTCTTCAACCAAGTGCTATCCTATGTAACCATATATAGCCATCAAAATCAAGAAATTAGCACTGACACATTACTACTAATTCTCAGCCCCCATTCATGTTTTGTTAGTTGTCTCAATAATGTCATTTTATAGCCAAATATAGATCAGAATTGTGTATTGCATTTGGTTTTCATATCTTTTTTAGTTTCCCTCAGTCTAGAACAGTTTTTCCTTAACTGTTAATTAACACTTTTGAAGATTATAAGAAAGTTAATGTAAAAAGTCCTTCAGTTTGAGTTTGCCTGGTTTCCTTATGGTTGATTTCAGGTTATGCGTCGTTGGCAGGAATGTCACAGAAGTATTTTGTGATCACAGAGGAATATCACAGATAGTCCTATGACTTTTCTTTGTTTTTCCAGGCATACCCATCTTCCTTGTAATCATTTTCTTAAACAATTTCTGAGCCTTTTTTTATATGTATTCAACCAATCTATTATGTAAATTGATAGGAGAAAATAGGGAAGTAGTTAGTGGGTTGGAGACTGAGTCACAGTAAAGATTTTAGAGTATCATAGGCTGAAGTTTCAGAATCATCTAGGACAAATGATGGTGGCAGAAATATAAAACTAGCCAAAGAGTACAGTGAGGACAAAATTGATAATTGATATTATTATTTGAATGTTTGATTGCTTTGATTAGATTATTACTTTTATTAAAGTCATTTTAAAGACTATATAGATTCTACTCCAAAGTATTATCTGCCCAAACAAGTTGAGCTGTCATTTCCTTTTGACAAGACTTTCATTTTTATCAACTTTATTTTTTATTATTTATTTATTTATTTAGAGACAGAGTCTCGCTTTGTTGTCCAGGCTAGAGTGAGTGCCGTGGCGTCAGCCTAGCTCACAGCAACCTCAAACTCCTGGGCTTGAGCGATCCTTCTGCCTCAGCTTCCCGAGTAGCTGGGACTACAGGCATGCACCACCATGCCCGGCTAATTTTTTATATATATATCAGTTGGCCAATTAATTTCTTTCTATTTATAGTAGAGACGGGGTCTCGCTCTTGCTCAGGCTGGTTTCGAACTCCTGACCTGGAGCAATCCGCCCGCCTCAGCCTCCCAGAGTGCTAGGATTACAGGCATGAGCCACCGCGCCCGGCTCCGGCTAATTTTTTAAATATAATTTAGTTGGCCAATTAATTTCTTTGTATTTTTAGTAGAGACGGGTCTCACTCTTGCTTTGGCTGGTTTTGAACTCCTGACCTTTAGCTGTCGCCCACCTCTGCCTCCCAGAGTGCTAGGATTACAGGTGCGAGCCACCACGCTTGGCCTATTTTTATCAGCTTTAAATACATGTATCATTACTGTTCTGCTTAGGAAACATAATTATTTCATTGTAGAATATATAATTTCAAAAAGGTTTATGATCAATGAAGTATAAATAAATATTGTGGACTTTTGAGGCTTTTTCCTCTGAATACAATTGAATTGTTTTTAAACTACTTTTAATTATTTCAGTAAGATAAATATAATCTTTCTTTTAAATTGTAATGTAAATTTTAAGAGCTCATTGAAATGAAAACAAAAACGTAACACTGCAAGTATTTTGAAGGTTATTAGAAGCTTGGTAAGTTGGATTTTATGTTGATTGTGGTACTGAATGTGTAGAAATGAGTCTCAGTCAAACCAAGTAGAATTAAGTTTAATGCCTCACCAACTAGACCTTAGTTGGACTATCTCCCCAGTTCCTTAGGGATGTGGTATGGTCACCTTTAAATGTAAACTTCTTGCTTACTTAAATGGCAAGCACTGCAGATATATAAATAACATTGTTATCTATCTTTGGGGGTTAATATAACAGAAGTAAGAGGGGTGCATGTGAGAATAGTGAAATTGATATCTGTTCTTGAGGGCCCTTAAATGCCTGATTTTTAAATACCAAACTTTTAGAGGTATTGAGTTTTTATTCCACAGTTAGTGTTTGCTACCTTTCTTAAGTGGAAGGTATTATTTCATTTCTAAATTTTTTTTAATTATTTCGGAGAGCACCTCTTTTCCTAGCTCCTCTGTTTTTACTGATGATAAAAGCTGTTCACAGTGTGCTTCATGTTAAAATGTAGGGTTTTAGTAATTCTTGTGGGGGGCAGGAATGGGCAGAAGGCCATTGTCTCTGATTTTCCTTTTTCCAACTTTAGTTTTCTGTGTTCCTGTGTATTATATTTCCCAAAAGAGCGTGGAACAAAGGGTGAGGATTAAGAAAAGGAAGCAATTCATTGTTTGTAGGGGAGGTCCAGGATAAAGTTGTTTAAGATAAGGAATCCCTCATAAAATTTAAGTATACGGTAAAGCTTTTGCAAGGGGATTATAAGAACTGATTTTACTTTCTCCCCTTTACACTTTATAAGAAAGAAATCCTCTCAGTGGTGTAAAAGACAAACACTTGAGCATACTATACTGTACACCTTGCATATGTTTGTGTTTATATTGGTTGTTTTAGATTATAGACTCTTAAAGGATATGGACTACCAGTTGTAACATCCCTAGTCTGAAGTAAACTATATACAGATGTCCTTTTTTTTTTTCCTTAAACTTTTTCCCCTTTGCAGCCAATGCTTTTTTATATTCTTCTATACTTTTTGATGATATGTGAAGGAAAATGTTTTTGCATCTTATTGTTCTAACTTCCAAAGGTTTTTCCTCGACTGAGTTTTAATAAAAGTTTATTTGGTCTAAATTGAGTTTTGTCTTTCCCCTACTCAGGCCCAGATTGCCTTCCTTCAGGGGGAAAGAAAAGGTCAAGAAAATTTGAAGAAGGATCTTGTGAGGAGGATCAAAATGTTGGAGTATGCTCTTAAACAGGAAAGGTAATTCAGTAAAATGAAAGTTTTTAGTAAAAGAAAAGTTTTCTTAAATGTTGGAATAATTTTTCTATCATTCCTAAAATCAAATTTTAATACTGTACACTCTTGAGTTCAGGCATATCAGTGATAAACATTTTTATGAATGGTTATAATATGTTAATTTTGTAATGAATAGTTTAATAATGATCAATAAACTGAAAAATTTTAGCAACATTTCTTTCCTACTCTTTCCTTTTTAAAGAAACATATTTGCTTTCTGAGCTATTAATACTCATTTCTTTTTAGAGTTGAAGCAGTTACTAAATTATAAAGAAAATTTCTATAGGGCTTATTCTCTTTTGCTGTCACTTAATATTACTCAATTTATTGTATTTTATTAAGAAAAAAAATTGCTGAGAATCTTTATAGACTTCTTTTTGTATTTTGTTTCTTTGCTCTCAGCTGTACCTGTCTCTTTAGAAACTAATTGTACCCTTCTACTTTGCTAGTGTTTAAGATACTCAGGTAACTAAATTTGGGTCACAAGTGAAGGAAAATAGGTCATGAATGAGAGTTTTGGAAGTTACATGAAATTAAATTTTTGTCTTAATGAATAGTCTGAATTTTTTGGTCAGCAGTCTAAGATGGTTTATTGTTTTAGATAATTGAGTTCTTGAAAGGTAATACTGGAATTCTCTATTTTGCTACTTTTTTGCTTTGTTTTTGATGATCACTATTTTTTATCATTTTTTTGAAGTTGATAAATGGGCTGTTTGCAAAATTACCATAAAATAGTATTTAGCAGAAGATATTTATAAATATTGAGAAATAGATAAAACTTTATTAGAACTTGTGTTCACTTTCCTATAGGATCTTTAAATGGCACAAGAGATTGAAAGCAGGTTGAGCTCAGTGAAAAGTGCTTCTTTTCATGCCTTGAGAGGTTGATTGAAAGTTGTATTGGTGAGAGGGAAAGAAAAACACTTTTAAAAATACAAAATTTGGGCCGGGCGCGGTGGCTCACGCCTGTAATCCTAGCTCTTGGGAGGCCGAGGCGGGCGGATTGCTCAAGGTCAGGAGTTCAAAACCAGCCTGAGCAAGAGCGAGACCCCGTCTCTACTATAAATAGAAAGAAATTAATTGGCCAACTGATATATATATAAAAAATTAGCCGGGCATGGTGGTGCATGCCTGTAGTCCCAGCTACTCGGGAGGCTGAGGCAGAAGGATTGCTCGAGCCCAGGAGTTTGAGGTTGCTGTGAGCTAGGCTGACGCCACGGCACTCACTCTAGCCTGGACAACAAAGCGAGACTCTGTCTCAATTAAAAAAAAAAAAAAAAAAAAAAAATACAAAATTTGGGCCGGGTGTGGTGGCTCATGCCTGTAATCCTAGCACTCTGGGAGGCCGAGGCGGGCGGATTGCTGTAGGTCAGGAGTTCAAAACCAGCCTGAGTGAGACCTTGTCTTTACTAAAAATAGAAAGAAATTAATTGACCAACTAAAAAATATATATATACAAAAACTTAGCCGGGCATGGTGTGCATGTCTGTACTCCCAGCTACTCGGGAGGCTGAGGCAGAAGGATCGCTTGAGCCCAGGAGATTGAGGTTGCTGTGAGCTAGGCTGATGCCATGGCACTCACTCTAGCCTGGGCAACAAAGTGAGACTCTGTCTCAAAAAAAAAAATACAAAATTTGGGACTTTTTGAGATTTTTAGGTTGTCTAAATTGTAGACTTAACCAAAGTGAGAATAATAATATTAATAATGGCAACTGTTTGTTGAGTAGCTACTTGTACATTAGGCCCTGAGGCTTAAAACCTTAAGTCATTTGTGTAGAGTAGCAGAACTATATATAGAGAGCCTTGATTCAGATTTCTCAGGTCTTTCTGGTTCTGGAACCTGTACTCTTTACCAGTACATTATGTAATCTTATAAGACAGAAGACTTGAAATATATAAATACTAGAGTGACCAGGGGCAGAGTATGTGTGCATGTGTGTCTGGACTTGTGAACCACAGAAGTGCAGTGAATTATGATAAGTGCTATGGAGAAGTCTGCACAAGGTGTGGGTGGGGTTACAAAGAAGGGAGTTACTGCCATCTGGAAGATGGAAATAGAAAGGAAGACATAATTATAGGAGGTAAGGCTTGAACAGCATCAAATAAGAAGGTGCTTGCCCAACAGGCACGGTACAGGGAGTAGAGAGAACATGTTTGACATGAAACAAAGCAATTTGTTTTGTTCAGAAACTTGTAATCATTGTGAATGGAGAGTAATAAGATGTTAGTGATTTGATGACTGATAATGGTAGAGGAGGTAAGAGTTACATGGTGGTTGGGTGTGGTGGCTCATGCCCATAATTCTAGCACTTTGGGAGGCAGAGATGAGAGGATCACTTGAGGCCAGGAGTTTGAGACCAGCCTGGGCAACACAGCAAGACCCTATCTCTCCAAAACAGAAAAATTAGCCATGTGTGATGGCACTAGCTAGTAGTCCCAGCTATTCAGGTGGCTGAGACAGGAGGATCCCTTGAGCCCAAGAGTTTGAAGCTTCAGTGAGCTACACTCTAGCCCAGGCAGCAGCAAGACACTGTCTCAAATAAAAAAAAAAAGTCCCATCATGGACAGTCTTAACCATGGAGTTCAAACTTTAATCTTTTACATAACAGAGAACATGGAAAATTTTCAAAAAATTTTTATTCTAAAATGACCTCAAACTAATAAAATCGTTGCAAGGACTCTTACATACTCTTTACCCAGATTCAGTAATTGACATTTTGCTATATTTGCCGTATCATGCTTGCTCTCTTCTATATACATATTGCTTTTCTCCTATGTCATTTTTAATTAGTTTGCCCCTGAATACCTCAGTGTATATTTTCTAAGAGCAAGGACATTTCCTTATATGATCACAGCACATTAAGGAAATTTAACATTGATACGATTCTGTTCTGTAATATAGTCTATATTTAAATGTTCCAATAATATTTAAAGCATTTTTATCTTGGTCCAGGATGTAGTCTAGGATCCAGTCTGGGAATATATATTGCATTTAATTGTCATGCACTTGGAAGGTTTTAAGCATGAAATATATTTTAGAAAAATCACTCTGATCACAATGTAGGGGATAAACTGGAAAGATCTGTTAACAAAGGCAGGAACATTGTAATAGTCTAAGATAAGAGATGATAACATAGTAGCTGCTATAATAGAGAGGCATCAGCTGTAAAAAATTTTAAGTACAATCCATAAAATCTAGAGATGATATAAAAAATTTGAGATGGTATAGAGAGTGAAGGAGAAAGATAGCTCAAGAATGGCTCCGCCAGGTGCAATGGCTCATGCCCAAATCCCAGCACTTTGGAGTCCAAGGTGGGAGGATCTCTTGAGGCCAGGAGTTTAAAACCAACTGGGGCAGGCGGGGTGCGGTGGCTCACGCCTGTAATCCTAGCACTCTGGGAGGCCGAGGCAGGTGGATTGTTCGAGGTCAGGAGTTCGAAACCAGCCTGAGTAAGAGGGAGACCCCGTCTCTACTATAAATAGAAAGAAATTAATTGGCCAACTAATTATATAGAAAAAATTAGCCGGGCATGGTGGCACATGCCTGTAGTCCCTCAGGACTTGGGAGGCTGAGGCAAGAGGCTTGCTTGAGCCCAGGAGTTTGAGGTTGCTGTGAGCTAGGCTGACACCACGGCACTCACTCTAGCCTGGGCAACAAAGCGAGACTCTGTCTCAGAAAAAAAAAAAGAAAAAACCCAACTGGGGCAAAATAGACCCCATCCCTGCAGGGGGAGAAAACATTAGCTGGGCATGGTGGCACGCATCTGTAGCTCCATCTACTTAGAAGGCTGAGGTGGGAGGAGGATTGCTTGAACCTTGGGATTCAAGGCTGCCATGACCTTTGATCATGTCACTGCATTCCTGGGTAACAGAGCAAGACCCTCTTTTTATTTAAAAAAAAAAAAAGAGTCCCAAGTTTTTGCTGGCTTGAAAGACTGAATTATGAATGCGAGTTTTCAAAGTTACCAAATAAATTAAAAATGAAGAATAAGGATTAAAGAGCAGGTATGGGTGGGGGACCCATGACTAGAGATATATATTTGGGAATCATCAATATTATTGTGGGTGAGGAACTAGTATTATGGAAAGAAAGGAGTTAGCAGCAGCCATAGGAAATAGAAATGTTTGAGGAGAAGGCAGAAAGAAGAGCCAACAAAGAAAATACTATTTTGGAAGTAAGCTAAAGAAGGGAGTTGAACAATTGAAAATGTTAAGCAGACTCTAAATAAGTTGTGTACTGAAAATAGTCATTTTTGGATTTGCCATTTGGGAGCTTGTTGGTACCCTTACCAATAACTTCAATGATGTAACAGGAACATATGCCAGATCACAAGGGATTAAGAGGTGAGAAGGATAACGTAGCAACAGATATAGTTGCTTATGTTTTTTTCCAAGAAGTTTGAAGAACAAGAGAGATAAAAATCTAGCTGAATCTAAGGAAGATTATTTTTTCTCTTCTTTCCCTTAACTAATGGGTTGCTCTCAGAAAAGAGTCCGTGATTTTGTATCTTTTTTTTTTTTTTGGCATATTATGGGGGTACAGATTTTAAGGTTTCAATAAATGCCCTTCCCCCCCTCGATTTTGTATCTTTTGAAGTTTATGGAATGATTTGGGATTATTCCTGATGTAATGGCACTATTTAAGTATAAAATTAAGCATTTCTTTGTGGCCTGAAGCTCTAAAACATTTTTTTCTTTTATTTTTTCCACTCTGAAATTTTCTTTTTAATCCTTAATGCCAGGAATTTAAAAAAACTGTGGGGGCTCTATTTTAGTTCTTTTCATTCTGAAATTATTTCTCTAATACCTTAATGTCAAGAATTTAAAGAATTTTTAATTATTTCATAGATTCCGGGAGTACAAGTGTTTTTTTATTACATGGATGAATTGTATAATGCTAAAGTCTGTGCTCTTAGTGTATCCATCACCAGAATGGTGTATGTTGTACCCAATAGGTAACTTTTATCCCTCACCCTCTTCTACCCTCCTTTTATTTCCAATGTCCATTATATCACTTTATGACTGTATATACTCATTGTTTAGCTCCAACTTACAAGAGAGAACATGTGGTATTTGTTTTTCCATTCCTGAGATTCTTCACTAAGAATATTCCATCCAAATTGCTGCAAAAGACATTATTTCATTTTTTTTGATGGCTGAGTAGTACTCCAAGGTATATGTATACCACATTTTCTGTATTCATTCATCAGTTGATGGGCACTTAGGTTGATTCCATATCTTTGTAATTATGAATTTGCTGTAATAAACATTTGGGTACAGGTGTCTTTTTCATGTAATGACTTTTTTTCCTTTGGGTAGATACCAGTAGTGGGATTGCTGGATCGAATGGTACGTCTACTTTTAGTTCTTTGAGGAAACTCCATACTGTTTTCCATAGAGGGTGTAATGTACTAAGTTACGTTCCCACCAGTAGTGTGTGAGTATTCCCATTTCAACACATCTGTGACAATGTTTATCATTTTTTGACTTATTAATAATGTCCATTCTCCCAGGGTTAGTATTGCATGGTGGTTGTAACTTTCATTTCTCTGATCATTAATGATGGTGAGCATTTTTTCATATGTTTATTGGCCATTTGTATATCTTCCTTTGAAAAAAAATATTATGTCTTTTGCCTACTTTTTGATGGGGTTGTTTTTTTCTTATTGATTTGTTTAAATTTCTTTGTAGATTCTGAATATTAGTCCTTTGTTGGTTGTATAGTACCATGCTGTTTTGGTTACTGTACCTAGTGTAATTTGAAGTAGAGTCTCTATTTATAGTAGAGATGGGGTCTCGCTCTTGCTCAGGCTGGTTTCGAACTCCTGACCTTGAGCGATCTGCCCGCCTCAGCCTCCCAGAGAGGTAGGATTACAGGCGTGAGCCACCACGCACGGAATGCAATTTTTTTTTTTTTTTTTTGAGACAGCGTCTCACTTTGTTGTCCAGGCTAGAGTGAGTGCCATGGCGTCAGCCTAGCTCACAGCAACCTCAAACTCCTGGGCTCAAGCGATCCTTCTGCCTCAGCCTCCTGAGTAGCTGGGACTACAGGCATGCGCCACCATGCCTGGCTAATTTTTTTTATATATATATCAGTTGGCCAATTAATTTCTTTCTATTTATAGTAGAGACGGGGTCTCGCTCTTGCTCAAGCTGGTTTTGAACTCCTGACCTTGAGCAATCCGCCCGCCTCGGCCTCCCAGAGAACTAGGATTACAGGCGTGAGCCACCGCGCCCGGCCTAAATGCAATTATTTTTAACATCAACATTTAAGATGTGCATAGCATGCTCTGTTATATTCCTGGCACATTAGGTATAATAATATGCTTTGAAACAAAGCATGAGACTTCTTTAGTGTATTAAAATTATTAAACAATTTTTATGTTATTTTATCCACCAGAGGCCATGTGGGGGACCTAGCTATATATCAAATGTAGAGTTGTTAGACATGAGGTTGCTTATTTATCTGATAGAGAAAGAACAGTGAATAAGAAAGATTGTTAAATAGTGAGCGGAAGTGTTAAAACAATGGGAAAAAATAAGAGTGAGAAGGTATCTTAACATATTGTCTTCAAAAGGAAGACAATCATTAAACTTGAAGAGGGTTCTGTGAGAAAAATATTTTTTAGCAAATTTGACAATTCAGTAGGGAGACCCTGATTTATGGGACCTTAGCTTGTGGTAACCACAGTAGTTCTTTACATATTTTGTCTTTGTCTAATTTTTTATGAAATGTTAGCTGTTAATATGTTGTTATTTTTGTTACATTTATTTTGTAGAGTATTTTCTATTGCCAATTTTTGTAAATTCTGTTGCAGTTTTTCCTAAGACCACTAGAATGCACTATAATGCAGTATTTTGTGTTTGAAAATGTTTTTCTTTTTTTACATATATGTAAAAAATGTAAAATAAACTCTCTAAAATTTTGTTGTCACTATTACTTAAAAAGCTTTAATATCTGTCCTCAGGCTAGTTGTGTTCAGTTGCTGTTTTGACTTCTGGGAGATATTGTTATTTTGCCTTATGGTAAATGAAGTATGTTTCTGGAAAATGGAAAGATTGACATTTATGTTAAGAACCTTGTTACCTTACCTTTCTGGTAACTGCCAGTCAAATTAATGTCTTTAAATCTTACCCTATAATAATCTACATTATTACAAATAACATTGAAACAGAATAGGAAACGTTTAGTACAGTGATGAAATCTTTGTGGTTAAGGGATCATTGGGAATAGATGTTGTAGATAATTTGGACCAAACATATTTACTGAAAACTTTAAAAATACATAAATACACACACACACACACAGTTAATTAATCAAATAACAACAAAAATAGTCTCCCATCTGCCTCTATTCACTGATTTCCCTTCCTTAGGAAATCTTAACTGATATCTTATGTCATGTATCATTCCAGAAATATTCTATGTGTATGAATTATATCTTTTTAAACAACATATATGGAGGCATATTATACATAGTATTTTGTAACATTTTTGCTTAAGCTTAAGAGATCAATTCATATTAGCACACGAATATCCTTTTTCCTTTTTAACATGTATGTTTTACTACAGAGCATTTCATACATATGCACAGGATCTAAAGATAAACATAAAAAATGCACATGTTCACCATCTACCTTAAGAAATAGGACATAGCTGCTTATAATTTTCATAGGTTTTCTTAAGATTCCCATCTACATAAAACTTTTATTTTTTTCCCTATTGGAACTACAAAATGACTATTACTGCAAAGTAATCATGAAGGATTCCAGCACCTTGCCCATTAGAGCAAATAATTTTTTATTTCTTTTATACTTTTCTTGAATTATAAAAAACCCTTATGGTAAGTGCTCAATTAGTTTTTTATATAAATAAATATTGCTTTCAAATTTGGCTATGTTACCCTTTCCTCCCTTATTACTTTGCAATTTTGGTTTTTAAAATTATTATTGTTTTTATTATTATCCCTGTCTTCTTTTTTTTTTGGACACAGAGTCTCACTCTTGTTGCCCTGGCTACAGTGCCGTGGCGTCAGCCTAGCTCACAGCAACCTCAATCTCCTGGGCTCAAGCGATCCTCCTGTCTTAGCCTCCCGAGTAGCTGGGACTACAGGCAGGTGCCACCATGCCCAGCTAATTTTTTCTATATATTTGACCAATTAATGTCCTCCAATTTTTCCTTTTTTTTTTTTTTAGTAGAGACGGGGTCTCGCTCTTGCTCAGGCTGGTCTTGAACTTCTGAGCTCAAATGATCCTCCTGACTTGGCCTCCCAGAGTGCTAGGATTACAGGCATGAGCCACCGTGCCTGGCCTTTTATCTGAGTCTTAACACATTGAATTTATTATAAATGGCCTCAATGTTTTTGAGAGCAAACAGGTCAAATTATACAACTACATTAAGCAGGTATAGTCATTTTTTAGGTACCTTTTTAAAGTTTCTACCTTATCTGTATTATTTTTCTGGTCTCGGATGGTTAAATCTGATTAACCAGAGACGATAATGTTCTGTTCACCTTTAAAGGAGATAGATAGTATTTGCATTCATAGTACTTTCTGAGTGAAAGACAAAAGATATGTTGATTGTTATAAAAAAATTACTCATTCTTACTGGAATATCTTATTCAATATTGATGATTTTGGCTGGGTTTTTCCCCCCCTCAGTTGTTTACTATACTTGGAGAATCATAATTACCTGACAAGACACATAATATTGTACATGACTTTTCTTTTCTTTTTTTTTTGTTTTTTGAGATGGAGTCTCACTCTTGTTGCCTGGGCTAGAGTGCTGTGGCATCAGCCTAGCTCACAGCAACCTCACACTACTGGGCTCAAGCGATCCTTTTGCCTTAGCCTCCTGAGTAGCTGGGACTAAAGGCATGCACCACTATGCTCGGCTAATTTTTTCTATTTATTTTTAGTTGGCCAACTAATTTCTTTCTATTTTTAGTAGAGACAGGGTCTAGCTCTTGCTCAGGCTGGCCTCAAACTCCTGACCTTGAGCGATCCTCCCGCTATGGCCTCTCTGAGAGCTAAGATTACAGGCGTGAGCCATGCCTGGCTGACTTTTCTTTTTAAAAAGCTCAATTTTGAGAAAAGTTAGTCTTACAAGTTTATTCCAAACCTTTTTTACTGCTTTTGATAGTAGAGTTCAACACTGACAGTCATTAAGAAAACTTGAGTACTACATAAACTAGAATGTTATATGGTTCATTTGTAATTAAACAAATAAGATTATGATTTCCAGTGTTATTCCTTTATTTTGTTATAATGACACTTGATGGTATAACAACAGCAAAAAAGGCAAGCACTTTTGTATTATAACTTGCTACCGTGGAGGGCTATGCGCCTTTGAGAGTTCTAGGAGTGTTTAGCCAGGACTAGTGAATACTGACGACTACACCTATTATGTATCTTAAATTTCATGTAAATGTGTTTTAAGATGGTTTATATTTTCTCATTTCTTTGTTAGAGCCAAATACCACAAGTTGAAATATGGGACAGAATTGAATCAGGGAGATATGAAGCCTCCAAGCTATGATTCTGGTAAGCTAATTTTAAAGGAAGTTTAAGTGATAAAAAGAAATTAATGTCTAGTATTTTTTAGCAGCAACGTTTAAAAGTTAATTTATAATTATTTGCATGTTAGTTATTTTTTCTGACCTTATCTTTTGGGCACTAATCATTAAGTGTCATTTAGATCATTTTCCACTACCTTCCTTCCTTTTCCATCTTCCCCTTTCTTTTAGTTCCCCATTTTCTGCTTATGTTCTGCAATTACTGGAAGGATCAGAATTCATGGGGTAACACGCACCAACATAACCTTGTCTTGCTGGGTCTGCCCAGCATTAATGGGAACTTTGGGATGTGCAGTACAAAGTACATCATGCCCTTGAAATCCTGAGAAAGAGTAGTAACTATGGAGGTAAGAGATTTCTTCTTAAAGCACAGGGGGTTTCCTAATTCCTTAAACCTAATTCTTCAGTTTCAGGTACAAAACTGTTTTGGACTTTCTTACCCATAGGAGGTTCTATAACTATAAGATGTTTTAACAACTGAAACATTTATTATCTTTTTGTGTTATTTCTTCTTTTTCCTTCTTCTACTTTCCTCTTCACACCACCAAATGTTACAAAATAGTACTTATAGTACTTATAAACAATTTAGATATTAAGGAATATAGATACAATTCATTTATTAGTAGGTGTAAGGGAAAAATGAAAAAAGTTGTTCAAAAGTTAATCACCATGTGTCAGATGAGTGTATTTTTGGCATAATTTCAGATTAAATTCTTCTGTCAAATATCTGAGAATATTAATGATCATTTATATCATTTACTAGAATACCTACCTTGCTTTGGTCTTTATGTGTATATATTAACTTTAATTTTTAAAATAGTTATTCAGTGAAGACAATATTTATTCTCTTATTATGTATGTGAAATTTAAACTCAGAGAAATGGAGAAACTTGCATAAGGTCACACAACTATTAAGTGATGGGATATGGAGCTGAACCAAAGTCTGCCTGACTCAAAATTTATATTCTTCCTATTTTGCCACACTGCTTCTATATTTGACAATGTATGAAAGAAACTTTCAAAAATAAGTTCTAAATATACTGCCAATTTTATAGTTAATTCAGCATAGTAATATATTAATGCATTTTCTCTGCTGAATATTAAATTCTTGAGATTTAGAGCAATACCAGTGGATCACTGTTGTATTTTTTCCTTTGTTTTTTAGTTATTGTATCTTTTACTTTGTTGTCTATTCTTGTAACCTGAGATGTATTTAAATTAAATTTTTTTAAAAAAATTTAGGCTATTTGTTAAAAATTGTTCTAAAAATATATTATCTCGTTCAAAGGAGTGATTTTAATCTGTATTACATAAAACAGTTTCCATTTTGTAAGTTTAGAAGTATAAGGCATAGTTGCAATAAATTAAAAAATATTTGTAAGTTAACAGTGTGGCTCAGTAAAAAGAACCTGGGCTTTAAAATCAGATAGGTATCACTTTAACTCTGCCCTTACACTTTAATATCCCTGTGATAGTACTTAATTTCCCTGGGGTTGCTTCATTCTTTTTTTTTTTTTTTTTTTTTGTGTGTGTGTGTGTCATTTGGACAGAATGCTTCATTCTTGATATGTAAACTAGGAAATATTCTGAGAGTAATTCCTAACTTAAACCTTTATTTTCTTAGTATAGAATACCTAGTTAGTACCTAGTATCACTCCATCTAGCCATCTTTCCAAGCATCCATTTATCTTATAAATGATAAATATATAACGTTTGTCATACCCAGCACCAAATCCCATAAATAGGACAACAATGCCCTATTGGATCCTATCTTACAGGAAAGATAGACAGTTAAAGAAGTGATTACACTACAGTAAGACATGTATAATGGGTAAATAATAGGTGTTATTGAGCACAGTGGCAGACGAACCAAATCTAGTCGAAGTGGTCAAGGAAGGCTTCTTGAAGGAAGTGATATTTAACTTCGACATCTAATGAACAAGTATTAGTTAGCCAAGGCAAGTAAACTGATTAAATATTTACTGAATGAGAGATGAAGGAAAGACAGAGTATTAGCAGCAAAGCTTCTGAGATAAGAGTGGCACATTTGAGAAATGGAATAACTGGACAGTAGTATTTCCCTATGCAGCGAGAGTTAGCTGGGGGAGTAAGATATGTTACAAGGGCCTTGTGAAATATGTTAAGGTGAGGAGAAGACATTTGAAGGATCTTAATTAGGGCCGTTAGTGTGATCTGAGAGTAAATCTGATCCTAAGACTGCAGTGTGGTAGATGGATTAGGGAGAAGCAAAACTGGAGAGGAGGAGACTGGTTAGAAGACTGTTGTAGCCACCTGGGCAAATGAGAAAGCTTTCCTTGACAATAGAGTTGAAGAGAAGTGAGTATATTCAGGAAATATTTGGGAGGTAAAATCTGCAGGAACTAGTTCTTGACTGGATAGTAAAGATGACTCCTACATTTGTAGTTCAAACAACTAGACCAGAAGTATGTTTAGAAAATGGTTGATTCACTTGTGGGTTTATTACTTAGGCAACCAAGTGAAGATGGCTAGTAGACAGTTGTATGTATGAGTCTGGAGCTCAAGCCAGAGATACAGGTCAGAAAAATAGATTTGAGAGGGATCAACATGTAGTTCTGCTACAAAGTTCTACTCCAAAGTTATTGGAGTAGAAAAGATCACCTAGGGCCTCATACAGAGTAAGAGGATCTAAAAGGTCCTGAGGAATGACAACATGTAAAAGTTGGTAGAAAAATAGAAACCCGGCTAGGCGCGGTGGCTCACGCCTATAATCCTAGGACTCTGGGAGGCTGAGGCGGGTGGATCGTTCAAGGTCAGGAGTTCGAGACCAGCCTGAGCAAGGGCGAGACTCCGTCTCTACTAAAAATAGAAATAAATGAATTGGCCAACTAAAAATATATTTAAAAAATTAGCCAGGCATGGTGGTGCATGCCTGTAGTCCCAGCTACTCGGGAGGCTGAGGCAGAAGGATTGCTTGAGCCTAGGAGTTTGAGGTTGCTGTGAGCTAGGCTGACGCCATGACACTCTAGCCCAGGCAACAGAGTGAGACTCTGTCTCAAAAAATAAAAAATTAAAAAAAAAAATAGAAACCCAAGAAGGAAACTGATAAGGACTACATTAATGGTAGGAGGAAAACCAGAAGAGTGGAAACCAAGAGAACAGAAGGTTTCCAGAAGGAAGGGCTATTCAGCACTACTGATTAAGCACCAGAGGACTGAGGAATATCTCTAGGATTTAGTGACACACAGGTCACTGAGAACTTTATTGCAAGCAATTTAGGGGAATGATGAGGGCAGAAACAAAGACTGAGTGTAGTCAGCTTGCAGGAAGCCTAGGTTGTGAAGGTGAAGGAGAGAGATTAGAGGACAATAGCTGAAAGGACACATTGGGTCAAGGAAAGAGAGAGAGAGAAAGAGGGATTGTGTGTTGTGTTTCTGTTTCTTAGACAAGGAGCTAGTAAAAGTGAGAGGTAGAGATACTTAAAATAGGAAGGCATCTGAAGAAGTGATAGGGATTGAATTCTGAACATAGCTGGAGAATGGCAGGAGAAGCATGTCTTCTGTTGTTACCAAGATAGAATGTAGGATGTTAGGTAACAGGTTTATAGATTTAGGTTTTAGTTTAGTGGTGGGTAATTAAGGGAATGTCCATAGCTTTATGTATCAGACAGGATTATCTGCTAAGAGTAGGTCAGATGTTTAAGAAGGGTAGAGAAGGTTTAAAATACTGATGGTGAACAGGAGGACAAACTGACTAGAGAATAGTAAGATGGAGAAAAGCTAAGGTTCCAATTGAGGTATGTGATCATGAGTATGTATAGAGGCACTAGTCTGCACATGCAGTAACCCGGGTAAAGTCACAGAGTATGCAAATAGTTAGTAGTTGAATTCACTGAATTAATGGAGAGACAAAGGGACAAGAAAATTAGCAAAATAATGGTTGAAGTGATAAACCATGAACTAAAACTACAAAGGGAAGAAAATGAAGACAGAAGAAGCTAATGGGTAAGTTAAAAGTAAGGAGGTGGGTTCAGGTCTAGAGCAGGTCAGCAAACTATATTTTCCTAAAACTGATAATCCAAAGTTTTCTTTTTCTTTTCTTTCTTTCTTTTCTTGGCACAAGAGGCAAGGATCAAACATTTTCCAAAACATTTTTCACAAAAATTTACTTTTTCTGATTTTTTTTTCTGTTTTGTCTTACTTCCATACCTTCATATTTCTACTTTAGGAGAATATTATCTCAGGCAGTGTTAAAATTCTATCTTTTATATTTCATATATTCTCCTATTTAATATTAGAAGATAGTTATTGAAGTTTGAATATTTTTATATAGTGTGACACATTCTGCCTTACCTGCAGTTTTCTGATTTCAAGATTGTTCTTTTTTAATCACCAAACGAGGCAAGAAAAGCTTCATCTTTCTCTGCTGCTGCACCCCTTTTAATAAAAGGATTTGTTCTATAGGATTAGGATTCAGTTAGAAGGCCACACACTCAAGGATCCAGATGGCCAGATGTAGCCCCAAAGGCTGTGGGTTCTCCATCCCTCCGTTTCACCCCTCCTCTTTTTGAATTAATCAAGTATTTTTTATGATTCCATTTTACCTCTTTTGCTTATTTATTTGCAGTAACTCTTTATTGTTTTAAGTGCCTGCTTTAGGGTTTATAGGGTGGATCTTTAACTTATTACAGTTTTCCTCAAGTGATAATATACTGCTTTATGTATAGTATGAGCATCTTATAACACTATACTTCCCTTTCTCTTCTTCCAGCCTTTGTGCTATTGTTGTCATATTTTACTCTATGTATGTTATAAACCACATACTATATTACTGTGTTTCCCCGAAAATAAGACCCACCCGTAAAATAAGCCCTAGCAGGATTTCTAAGCATTTGTGCAATATAAGCTCTACCCCAAAAACAAGACCTAGTGATGGGCATGGATATGCAGTGTATCTGCAAAACCCATGCATTTCGTTGCGAAGAGGTAAAGAAGACGAGCAGCCCTTTTCATCTGCCCCATCGTGACAGCTACTATCCCAGAGGTGACCAGAAAGGTGTGGGCAGCCCCACCAACAAGGTCATCGGCTCCTCCTGTCAGGTCCTGGCCATCCTGTGTGTGCTGCAAGCTGAGGCTTTGAGAGGAAAATAACACATCGCCTGAAAATAAGCCCTAGGGTGTCTTCTTGAGGAAAAATAAATATAAGACCCTGTCTTATTTTCGGGGAAACATGGTATTATTTTTGTTTCAGTTCTCTATTCTCTTTTAAAGATATTTAAATAATATGAAAAAATATTTCCAGTGCTCATCATTGCTTTGTATAGATCTGTATTTCCAGCTGGTATCATTTTCCTTCAACCATGAAGTCTCCCTGTGACATACATATCTTATAATGTAGGCTACTGGTAATGAATTTTTTCAGCTTTTGTATGCCTAAAAAAATCTTTATTTTGTTCACAGGCATTGTTTCTGATAAGATGTTTGCTCTTTTTTTGCTTTTTTTTTTAGATTAGTCAAGTACAGTAGTGAGGAGAGAAAGGAGTAGAACAATGAGTTCAATCTATAACTTACTGTGAGCAATCAAATGAGATAACTCCCTACCTTTGGATCAGTCTCTGCTTGTTGTTTTTTTTCTTTGTTCCTCTACATATAATCAGACCTTTATCTTTGGCTGCTTTTAAGATTTTTTCTTTATTATTGGTTCTAAACAATTTTATTATTAATATGATGTGCCCTAGTGTAGTTACCCCTCCCCACATCTTTCTTATTCTTGGGATTTATTGAGTTTCTTAGGTCTATGGGTATATGGTTTTCATGAAATTCAGAACTCTTCAGCCATAATTTCTTCAGATACTGTTTTTTGTACCCCCTCCCTGTGCTATGATTTGGAAACTCTTTCAAGGCAGTAAGTAGCTCAGATAATCATAAGGCTCACCTATTTGTTTCCCTTCTCTCTCTCAGGTATCACTGTCTTTGTTGCCTCATGTACAGTATTTTGAAAACTATTGTTTTATCTATTTTGATTAACAGTTGTTTCAGCAGGAGGCTAAATCCAATCTCTTGCTCTAAGTTGACTGGAAGTACCAGCCAAATACTTTTAATATTACCAAGAAATTCAACTATTATCCACTTTAAAATCCTTTGTATAGTGTTATTTTTTAAACTTGATAAGGCAAGAATGAATAATTGATAACTACTTACTAACCATGGAAAGAATTGTGAGCTTAGCCTATGTAAAGAAGTACAAGAGCTTTTTGACTTTGAGGGTTTTGTTTTTTGTTTTTTAACCTCAAATGTTACCCATGAAGTCATATTTCATCTTAATATAAGAATACACTTTTTTTTTTAAAGATGATGAGGGTACATTCTTATTTGGTTTGTCTTTATTTTTTATTAAGGTATAATTTACATGTAGTAAAATTCACCATTTTTAGTGTTTTCACAAACCCCTTCCTTCCCACTCTAGTTCCCTGGCAACTACTAATTTGTTTTCCATTTTTATAGTTTTGCCTTTTCCAGAAGGCCAGATGCATTTCAGAATCTTACAGCTGGGTTTGGTGGCTTGTGCCTGTAATATCAGCTACTTGGGAGGCTGAGGTAGAAGGATCACTTGATAGCAAGATCCTGCCTCTATTTTTAAAAGAAAAGATTTTACAACATACATCCTTTTGATTCTGGCTTGTCTCACTTAGCACAATGCATTTGAGATGTATTTATGTTGATGTGTATCAGTAGTTCATTCCCTGCTCTTATTGAGTAGTATTCCATTGAATTGATGTACCACACTTTTGTAATATCTAGCTGCCAAGTAGGCAAAAGCAGTTGAGCATACCTGAGGATGACATAGAAAGGATTTAGGCCTAGTGTGATGGGATATTAAATGATTTCAAAACTTCTTTTCACACTGAAATTTTTAAAGGCTTGAATTTGGCAAGTACAGGTACTCACCTAAATTTGTAAGTCAGTGGAAACATGATGTATTTGTTTTACCTTAGTATTGAGACACTTTTTGCCTTTTTAATAGATGCTCTCTTTGTAGTTATCTCAAAGTAATTAACTTCTTTTTAGAGTTAATTTAATTCCTCTTATTTTCTTCCGTCCCCCAACACCCATCCTAAGCCCCAGTCTATTCCATTTGCTCTTTCTTTGGTATATCACAGGATTTAATCGGGTTGTTTCAGAGTTATTTTAGGAGAAAAACAAAAATAAGAACATAATTCTTATTTTTATTAATATGTTTCTCTGCTTTCCTATCATTGTAGTGATAGCATATGAAGAAAAATGCTGAAGCTCTGCAGTGAAACAGAAAGGAATTCAACACTTAACTGTATTTCTAACTAATAAACCTGAATATTACCCTCTGCAACTCAGCTTTCTTTTCTTTAAACTGGGGATTAACAGCTATCTTTTGAGGTTGTAAGGGTTAAAAGAGATAATGTATATATGTTTAACACAGTGTTTGGAACACAGCACATAGTAAATGCTTAATTTCAAATATTCCAAAACAGATTTTTCAAGTCCCTTTTTTGTATCTCTGCTTGATCTGATAAAGATCAGCAATTTCTTATAGTTTGATCAAAGGCTGATAAAAAGTATGAACTCTTGTATTATTGAAGTTGAATCCATAGTGTAGTTTGGAAATTCTCCAGTCCAGTCTTACTATAGGAAAAACTCTTTTATTTTACCACCTTCTTAAAGATTCTGCTTTTTGTCTAATGATAAATTTAAGCTTTAAGACACTTAGGAGGTTTTCATTCAAAGAATGTCATTAAAAGAATACTTGAGGCTTTCATTTAACAGCTAGGGAAGGAAACAGATTTGGATTGAGATTATTCTTTATATATCTGATTTTTATCAAACTGGCTCTTCTACCATCATTCCTTGGTATTTTGTTCTAGTTCTGATGTGATCATAATACTTTTATTTTCATTGTGTGACTTGATAGGTTTTCATCCTGTAGGAAAATTCTTAGGCTAACTAAAGATAGGGAAAATATCTATATTTTAATTCTGCTACTCTACAGGGAATCTGGTAGCAATAATTAATTTAAATTAGAGTGTTGATATGGAAATTAGAGTTAAAAACAGATTTTACATTTTCTCCAAAACATACCTTACACTTATAGTTTTATATATTCTTAACCTTATAAATGTTTGTTGGGCATTTTTATGAATTGTGATGTCCTCTAACAGGTAAAACAAGTCAGTTTTATTATGATTTAATGTTTTCCAGACGAAGGTAATGAAACAGAAGTGCAGCCACAACAAAACAGCCAATTAATGTGGAAACAAGGTCGACAGCTACTCAGACAGTAAGTACCCCAAGGTCAAACTTACAAATGGTCAAAGACAAAAAATTTATTTTCATGAAATTATTTTTATTTTGTATTTTTTAACTCAATAGAACGTTTTCTATTGAGTTGAAAATGATATAATAATACAATCTTATACTACTGCTGTGAAAATGCTTAATTGAATTACTATTCCTTTTTCATATAAAATGCTTTTTCCCTGTGGTAGAATTTATATAATTAAAAGAATTCTATATCCTTTAAAGTTATTCTTTTCATTGCTTCTTTTATGCACGAATATATGTGTTTTAATGTAAGTCCAATCAGTCAGTGTTTATGTTTTGTGTTATGTTTTTACACTTTTAAATAGATTGAAGAACTTTTTGAATTCCCCAAATTTGCAAATATTACCTAGTATGTATTTTCCCCTGTAAAATATGTATTTGAGATAATAAAAAAGAAACAAGGCTGGGTTGAGGTTCTGATGTTAAGTGTGGACTAGACCTACTTACCAATCAGTGCCTGATCCTTGTATCCCACCTTCTAAACTGGTATTCAGATTTGTACCCCAGTGAAATGAAATTTGCTCTCATTTGGACTTCAGGAGTTGCTTGAAGTAGTTTTAACCTAAGGTTTTCAAAGTAGATGCATACCAGCTATTCTTTTTGACTATGGGAAGAGAATATTAAAATGTCTCCTCCTATTTTTAAATTTAGACAAAATTAGAAGAAAATGAGACTTTACTAATATTTCATAAGTAGATTTTCACTAGTGCCCTCACTTTAGTCTGTTTTTTTTTTTTTTTTTTTTTTGAGACCAAGTTTCATTGTGTTGCCCTGGCTGGAGTGCAGTGGCATTATCTTAGCTCATTGCAACCTCAAACTCCTGGGCTCAAACTCCCAGGTAACTGGGACTACAGGCACATGCCACCATGTTGGATAAGTTTTCTAATTTTTGTAGACATGGGGTCTGGCTCTTGCTCAAACTCCTGACCGCAAGTGATCCTCCTGCCTTGGTCTCCCAGAGTGCTAGGATTACAGGCATGAGCCACTGTTCCTGGCCCACTTTGGTCTTAAATATGACTTAAATGCTGATTTTTTTTTTTTTTTAAACAAGAAGTTGTTTCATAATGAGCTATCCAAGAGACATTTTCAAAAACATCAAAGGACCCATAATCTGCTCCTCAAAGTAGAGGTGCCATTTTATCAATGAAGGAGGAAGTAACTAATTAGTAAAACCAACTTATTTATAGCAAGAGCAGATTTGAAACAGATAATTGTAATGTGATTTTTATTGCCAAAGTGAGGCATATATCAAATATTATTTGTTAAAAATAGAAAACCATAGCATCTTTTTTTTTTTTTTTTTTTTTTTTTGAGACAGAGTCTCGCTTGTTGCCCAGGCTAGAGTGAGTGCCATGGCATCAGCCTAGCTCACAGCAACCTCAAACTCCTGGGCTCAAGCGATCCTCCTGCCTCAGCCTCCCGAGTAGCTGGGACTACAGGCATGCGCCACCATGCCCGGCTAATTTTTTATATATATATCAGTTGGCCAATTAATTTCTTTCTATTTATAGTAGAGACGGGGTCTCGCTCAGGCTCAGGCTGGTTTTGAACTCCTGACCTTGAGCAATCCACCCGCCTCGGCCTCCCAAGAGCTAGGATTACAGGCGTGAGCCACAGCGCCCGGCCAAAACCATAGCATCTTTGTAGTACTTTGTAAGAACTGATTAAATTTAGGAAAGTTGGGAATTTATTATCTAAATTTTAATTAAAACCTTTCTGTAAATATTGGATGGGATTGAAAAATGAACATCTTGATTTAATAAGATACACTTACTCCACTTGATCACATATTGTCTTTGGGAGATATCTCTTTCAGCTATGTTATTAAGAGCAAATCTCACTGTAAACTGAACGTAAACTTGTTATTTCTTCACTTTTGTTCTCTTTCATCTAGTAAACTCAATGCTTGCTTATAAATTAATGCCTAACATTTGTCTGTTGTGTTTATTAATGTCATTTGCCTTTTTCATGGTCCTGCTACTACCACTTTGATCTTTTTTTGTCACCTTTGGTGTTAATAGGTGTTGAGTGCTTTCCATATTCCAGGTAGAGTATTAGGTGTGTCTATTTTAAGGGAAAGAAAACTGATTCAGGAGAGGTAAAGTTATACTGCAAGTAAGTGGTAGAAATTGGCTTAAAATCCAGATCCAACTCTCAATACAAAGCATATGCTCTTTTTTCTGTGTTGCTGCCTCTCTGTAACATACACACATGTATGCACACACACATGTGTACTCACATACCCCGTATCCCACGATTTAATTGTGGTCTGTTTTTTTTTTTTTTTTTTTTTGAGACAGAGTCTCACTTTGTTGTCCAGGCTAGAGTGAGTGCCGTGGCGTCAGCCTAGCTCACAGCAACCTCAAACTCCTGGGCTCCAGCGATCCTGCCTCAGCCTCCCGAGTAGCTGGGACTACAGGCATGCGCCACCATGCCCGGCTAATTTTTTATATATATATATCAGTTGGCCAATTAATTTCTTTCTATTTATAGTAGAGACGGGGTCTCGCTCTTGCTCAGGCTGGTTTCGAACTCCTGACCTTGAGCAATCCGCCCGCCTCGGCCTCCCAAGAGCTAGGATTACAGGCGTGAGCCACCGCGCCCGGCCTGTGGTCTGTTTTTATTTTAGAGTTGTCTCAGGACAGAGGCGTCCCTTCTGTAGAAATGACTCTCTGAAAAACACTATCTTCTTGTATGTCATAGAGGAAACCAAATGTACTAGAAACATTTTCTGTAAATCTCAAATTACTGATCCATGACACTTTACAATAGAAATATTTAAACTACTGGAATCACTATTATAAAATAGTAATTTTGTAGAATATGGGAGTGAACTTGCTCCAATCCTGCCTAAAGGAAAGAATGTGCTATTAGATACCTTAAGGAACAGCTTCTTCTTATGATAAATGTGATGAATGGTGTATTGTATAGTTCTTTGATTTTTTTTCAGTGACTGTAGAGGCTGGTACTGCAAGAGACAGCTCCATCTGCAGCTGGAAGATTATTTATTAACAAGTCTTACTAGCATAGTACTGTACTGTTAAGTCTTATGTACGCAATGACTTTAAAGAAAAATTGTTATTTACATATTAAATTATGGAATACTGATTCTAGCATGAATGAATTGTAAGGATTTTCTTTATACAGGTATCTACAGGAGGTGGGTTACACAGATACTATTCTAGATGTGAAATCTAAACGAGTGCGAGCTTTGTTGGGCTTTTCAAGTGATGTCACTGACAGGGAAGATGACAAAAATCAGGACTCAGTTATAAATGGCACAGAGGCTGAAGTTAAAGAGACAGCAATGATTGGGTAAGTATTTTGTCTGAAAAGTTTTTTAACTATAACTAGTTCTTATTAAGTATTTTTGGTTTTATGGGTGCTACTTGCACTTTTAGGTAGTGATATAGAAATAATTATATAATTAAGTTAAATAAAAATTTTTAAATATCATTTGGTTAGAAGGTGCAGTTATACTTAGGGATTAGAGTTATCACTTATGATTATTTTAATTCAAGACTTTTTTATTTAGGGTGTTTTAATTGCTTGAAATTTAAATTTCATGTAGATTTTAATATCTTTAAGCTCAATTACTTACTAATAGAAGTTCATAAAAGATTTTATTTGGAAATTTAGTACAAATCTGTAAGAGTTAAATTTCATTATTGGTGACCCAGAAATCATAAAAATACCTCAAATTCTTTTTTTAAAATTTAATTAATTTATATTTGGAGACAGGGTCTTGCTTTGTCAACCAGGCTGGAGTACAATGGTGTAATCATTGCTCACTGCTTCCCTAAACCTTTGGGTTCAAACAATCCTCCCAAGGAGCTGGAACTATAACACCTGGCTAAAACAAAATTTTTAATGGTTCTTGGCGTCTCGCTGTGTTGCCCAGGCTGGTCTCAAAATCTTGGGTTAAAGCGATCCCTCTACCTTAGCCTATCAAAGTGTTGGAATTACAAGCTGGAGCCACCATGCCTGCCCCCTCAAATTCTTTAGAAGTAAACCTTTGCTTTTTCTTTTCTTTCTTTTTTTTTTTTTTTTTTTGAGACAGTGTCTCACTTTGTTGCCTGAGCTAAGAAGTAAACCTTTTCTTAACCACTTTTGTTTAATAATGCTATAACTCATCTTTCCTTTGATTTAAAATATCTATTTTAAGTAGATATGTTTTAATTGGTAGAATGAGCGTGAAAAATTCAGTAGTTTGAAATATTTTTGTTTTCCATTTTAGATCATATGTAATTATATATAATTCTACTTAAGAATATGAACAGTTCAATGAGTAGGTTCTTTTTGTTGCAAAAAATTTGCCATGATTCTTAAGTGAATAAAAAACCAAAGCTTCTATGAAAATCTAATGTTACTTTATTTTGACATATGTTTAGGCTAGAAGAATAGTTTTAATTGAACTCTATAAATTTTCTAGTGATAAGAGAGTTCCTGTTATTTTGAACATAAACTAAAATTATGGGATTAGGTAAAGATTCAAAACAGGACTTTTATAAACAAATCTCATTGTAGCCTTTTAAAATGTATTAATAATTAAGACTACATTAACTTGCATTTATAAACGTAAGGTGTATATTATTTCTCTGTATAGACATAGAACATGTGGGCATTATTCCCGGCTGTATTTTTACCTTAGGGGTTAACTTAACAAAGGTAATATAAATGTTTTTAGGGACTATAATGCATACTTTAAAAATCTTCAGTAAAGACCTTCAGAAAAGACCACTTTATTGTGTGTTTTGGCCTTGACCTGTCTTTTGAAACTGACAAGGATGTTGTTCTGAATCTGTTATATTTCTATAGGGATGGAGAATTGGGGGATGGGGAGGCAGAGCAGGGCAGGGACCAAAACCATAGTTCTCAGCAGATTTGAAATTTAAGATTTATCTATTTTGAAAACTGTCCATAGTTGTGACTATATTTTTTTCAGGAAAATGCTCTCTTATCTAAAATATTTCCTAATGAACTGGAGAGAAATCATTCTGTTCTGGTCATTAGGAAACTGTTTACTAAATTTATTTTGGGGGAACTAAATTCAAGTCATATGTTTGAAAATGCAACCATTTCCAAAAGATTAATGGTTTATTCGGCAATAGGATCAAGTCTTACAGTAATATAAATTTGACTAGTATGTAGTTGTAATAACTTTATGTGTATACTTGCTCTTTCACTTTTGTTTTTTGAAGCAAAAAAAATTTAATTTCAGAATATTACATGATATAAAAGAAAGACAACACATATGATTGTTTCTTTTTTTTTTTTTTTTTTTTTTTTTCTTTGTTGCCCAGGCTAGAGTGAGTGCCGTGGCGTCAGCCTAGCTCACAGCAACCTCAAACTCCTGGGCTCGAGTGATCCTTCTGCCTCAGCCTCCCAGGTAGCTGGGACTACAGGCATGCGCCACCATGCCCGGCTAATTTTTTATATATATATCAGTTGGCCAATTAATTTCTTTCTATTTATAGTAGAGACGGGGTCTCGCTCTTGCTCAGGCTGGTTTTGAACTCCTGACCTTGAGCAATCCGCCCGCCTCGGCCTCCCAAGAGCTAGGATTACAGGCGTGAGCCACAGCGCCCGGCCCATATGATTGTTTCTTTACAATTACATATATATAGTTGAGTAAGAATAAAAAATTTAAAATGGTGAAATAGTTAAGAAACCCTGTGTCTCTTGTTGAGTTCAGGGATAGTACAAAGGCAACACTTGCTATGAAGAAAGAACCATGGGGTAAGGGAATGTTTTTCCTGACAGGTTCTCCTGGTGGCCAAACATCTCTGGGGGAGTGTTCAGTGGCTCTTTAGCATAGGCTGTGGCCTCACACACTCTGCTCTTTCACTTCTTAAGCTGTTCAGCAGAAATACTGCATCAGATAAAAATGACATATTTACTAGTTATCTTAGTTGTGAAAATGTATGTGAGAGGTCAAAGGAAGAGTAGCAGAAAGGAAAAGAACAGAGAAAAATGGAGGCAGAGATAATACAAATTTTTTAAAAAAGAAATACATTAAGTTTGATACAAGGATCAAAATAATAGTGAATCAGGAAGGAGAATTTATTAGATTACCACTAATCTAAATAGATATGATTACAAAGTACTTTTAAAAAAGTAGCCACTTCTTATATTGCTTTTTTTCAATTAATCCATGAAAATGTAATAGATAAGAATCAATGTAGATCATAATATGATTTGAGGATCATAGTTACAATATATAAACATAAGTTAATGCAACATATCATGGGTTAATTCTTATGTCAAAGTTAAAAAGATTAACTGAGCAGGATGTACATGTTTTAAACCAGAAAATCGGAGCTAACAGATTCTGCCTCTGTGCTGGATAATTTCAAATTCCTTGAAAGTGCAGCTGCAGATTTCAGTGATGAAGATGAAGACGATGATGTTGATGGAAGAGAGAAAAGCATCATTGATACTTCAACAGTGAGTTAGATAACTTATATAAATATTTTAGAGACTATAGTGCATGGTTTAAAAATAATCCATGTTTTTCAGTCTAAACCCTTTTTTTTCATGAATTTGGGAAATATAAGAGTTTTTAATAGTGATTTTAAATTCAAGAATATTTTGAGTATAGCAGCTTTCTCTTAGAAGTCCTCACTCTTTGACTTTTTGTTTATTCATTTAACAGGACACTATTTCTATAGGGCTGGAGAATATGGTAAATGTGTGTTATAACAATGCAGTGTTATGGATTGCTATAAGAGAATAGAACTGACAGACACATCACAATGCCTAATGGCGGGCGACTGGCATCAGCTCTAATGGATGCAGTTTTTGTCTCTCTTTTCAGGGGTAGACAAGTTCTACAGACTTACAGAACTCTTCCATTAAATTTCTTCAAAATTGTTTAGGGGGCTTCTGTAGTTTTGTTCAGATTTTTGTAAGTTTATTAACTTTGGCATGGCAATTTTATAGAATAGATGTCTCTAAATTGCTGCTACTTCTCTTATCCCTTCTCCATTTTCTTTCCCTCCTTCCCTCTCTCCTCTTCCGTGTGCTTCATTTTTCTCCCATGCTGTTCATTTTTATTCCTTTCGAGAGAAAGAAAAGATGGGGACATGGTTTGCTTTGCTAGGAAACTGCCTTTCCACTTTCACATTTGTTAATCAGAATAGGGAAGAGGAAAGTAAAGTAACAGAATGCAGACTGAATTTAGAGTTAAAAGGTGTGGGTTTAAGCTCCAATTCTGCCACTAATTGTGCTTGTTAATGCATTAGGCTTACTTTTTTAGTTTGTAAAAATGAGGATTATAACAAAGACCCATTTTTATCTCCAGAGGATTTTGTGAGGAATAAAAGAGACATTATACATGAAAATGATCTGTTTAACTATGAAAAAATGCTTTCCATTATAAGTGTAACTTCTTTGTTTTTTTATGCCTTCTGTTTCCTGGCTCTATCAGAGACACTTATTACTTCAAGATTATCATTTCCTCAGGTCACTATTTCATAGTACTCTGCTGATAAAGCCCTGCCATGGATATTATTTAAACTTCAAGTAGTAACCCCCAATTTTTCTTATCTAAACTTGTCTTAATTTACTGTAGTAAAAGAAAAAGCCTAAACTTCTATGACACTTTTTTCTGTCCTAATCATCTAGAAATTGTGTAACTCCTTGTGATTTCTATGAGACAATAGAAATATCTTCTATTTTCTCATTGCATTGAAATATTATTTTCCCATCAAAATACTTTATTCATAGATTAGTGCTAAATAATAACTCTTGATGCTGTTTCTGTTACAGTGACATCAATTTAAATATTTAAAAAATCTATAAACTAATTATTAAAACTATTACATATCTTACTAGAAATTTTCAAACCATATACTGATATATTTTTAAAAAATCAAAATCATAAATATACTGTTTTCAAGTAGTACAGATCATAGTAATTCTTTGACCAAGCAAAGAAGGCATACTTAATGTAAACAGACTTAGCTCCATTCAAACACAGGACTCAAAAATTCTTTTAGTTTTTTAGGAAAAAGTATTTCTAAACAAATAATTGGTTTTGTTGTAACAGTTTTCCTAATGTTTACATTATCTTACATTAACGTAACATTATCTTACAATAATTTTCACAGCTGCAGTCTAATGGCATATGCCAAAAGGACTTTAAAAATCTCTAGCAATAACTAAGCATGACTTAGAAAATGAATAAACATGACTTAGAAAATTTATTTCATCTTATATAGACAGAATGGCTGAAAATTATCCTAAAATGTCAAGTAAAACAAACAGGTTTTTGAAATGTTATTGTATTTTTTTTCATTTATTTATTTATTTATTTCGGCATATTATGGGGGCACAAATTTTAAGGTTTCAATACATGCCCTTTCCCTCCTATCCCCATAAGTCTGAGTTTCCAGCATGATATTGTATTTTTTTTTTTTTTTTTTTTTTTGAGACAGAGTCTCGCTTTGTTGCACAGGCTAGAGTGAGTGCTGTGGCGTCAGCCTAGCTCACAGCAACCTCAAACTCCTGGGCTCAAGCAATCCTCCTGCCTCAGCCTCCCGAGTAGCTGGGACTACAGGCATGCGCCACCATGCCCGGCTAATTTTTTATATATATATTAGTTGGCCAATTAATTTCTTTCTATTTATAGTAGAGACGGGGTCTTGCTCTTGCTCAGGCTGGTTTCGAACTCCTGACCTCAAGCAATCTGCCCGCCTCGGCCTCCCAGAGTGCTAGGATTACAGGCTTGAGCCACCGCGCCCGGCCAGGATATTGTATTTTTTTAATCAAAATAGTTTAATAGATTACACTAAGAAGATACAGAAACATAAGGCTCGTAGTAACTGCTGTTGTGTGCAGGCTGTTACAGCGGAGTCTCTTCAAAGCCACATATCCTCTCCTTTCTTTCTCTTTGCTCTCTTTGGAGTTTGACTGTTCCTTGGTTTATATTCTGGATTATTTTCCTCTTCTGAATCATCTTTTCTTTTCTCATGATCAACCTCTTCTCTTTGTTTTTCCTTACTACCATTTATCTACATTCTCATCATCATCAGTTAAGTATAATAATGATCTTGAATGCATGCATGTAAAAAGTGATCAGCTTCAAACTGTGTGGAAAGACATCTTCTACAGCAACATTTAGTCTCCACATTTACAAATTATTAACTACTGTTTTAGTCACAGTATAAAGAATCCCATCCCCTTTGTGTCATGCTGCTTTTAATGGTTTTCAGAGTGACAGTCTATCCTTTTTTCTAATCTACTTGGGCACCCTGTGCAACCCATAATTTTTTTGGCTTTGTCTTAATTTCTTAAATTGATTTGTAAGCTCATTAAAGATAGGAATGGAGTGGAACCTTCTGTGTAAGGAGGAAAAGTAATACATGCTTATGATTATAATCTCTACTCTTTCCCATTTACTAATCCTATTGTCCATTGGTAACCACAGTTCACTTTTCTTCTATGCCTATACACTAAAAGCACAGGACTTTTGGTTTATTTATTTAAAATAGGATACTTGATAAACAGTGATCTGCAATGATAGTCCTTTATATGATCTGCATAAACATGTATCATTTATCTTCATTTGTAGTAAGGTTATACTGAGGAGATGAGACCTAGAAACAGGTTTTTCCCCATGAATTACTTTTATAACTTAATACCATATTTAATATAAAAAATACATTCAGACTGCCCTTTTTGTCAAGTTGTGAGATCAAGGACTTTCTATCTACAAGATGTTTGTGATAGCCCCTCTGAATTAGAGCTAGCATCCCTGTCAGGGTCCTGGAGAGGGAGGAGGGGTCAAACCTCTAGGGTAAAAAAGAAGGCAGATTAGGCAATATATTTGTATGTGAAACTATGAAGATCAGGATGGTCCATTGGGACAACTCTTCAGAGACACTTTTCTACCTTAGTCTGGCTGCCCAGGGAAAATTAGAACAGATTATTAGAATGCGGTTTGTGTTTGTAAAAGAGTACACATTCAGTGTAGGTTTTCTGTTCACGACATGTCAAACTGATCTTGTTTTTTCTGTTTGTTTAATAGATTTGCTAGATGTTAGATAGGGAAGTGCTACAAACATAGAAGTAATTCCTGATTTTAGAAAAGTATTCCAAATAATTAAGCCCAGTATTCTAGTATCACTAAATAATCCTTGATTTCTCCTGTTCACTTTTTGCATTTACCTTGGCAGATAAGGCCAGATAGGTTTCATCTACTATACTGGCTTTATTCTATTGGTAGTGGCTTCCTAGAGTGCTGTGTTGAGAAGAATTTCTGAGGCTGTATGTTATCTGATGAAAAGTGCTGTGATTGATAAGTGGTATCAGTTATGAGCATGGAAACAGGGCCATATGAGTCAAATGTTTGGCATCTCTTAGGGTCTATTTCTGAACTCTCCAGTGTGTGCCACTGATTTGTTTGTTAAGCCTGTATAATTTTATTTTATTTCACTTTATTTTTTTAGGACAGGGTGTCATACTGTCAGGCTTGAGTGCAGTGGCATGATCGTAGCTCGCTGTAACTTCAAACTCCTGAGCTTGAGAAATCCTTCTGCCTCAGCGTCCCAAGTGGCTAGGAATACAGACATGCACCACCACACCTGACTATAACCTTTATAATTTTAAATCACTCAAAATAGTCCAGAGATAACGTTTGATCAGGTCATGCTATTTCTATTTTTCATGAAGTAAAGAATCTGACACTGGAGAAATTGAGATATTGAATCATTTTGGTTCTACAAAGCAGTCATCCTAATTACTTTTGGCTCATATTGGTAGAGGTGACTGAAAAGGAGATAATTCATAAGGAGTTTATGCATATATTAAGCTTAAATTTTAACCCTGTGACTGAATTTGTGATTTCAGAGATATTTCTAAATATATAAGACATAACAGCCCTTATCAGATTTGTTATTAAATATAAGTCTAGACTCTGAAAAATCACTATTTTAGGGATAGAATTGAATATATATAGAGCTATTAGAGAAAACATGCAACATTAGAGCAGCAGAAATAATGATGGGAACCTAAGTGAGTACCTTGTAAGTCTTGAGCATGCATCTCTGAATTTGTGGCTTTTGTGATTTTAGATTTTGTGAGGAAATGATACAGTTGTATTAAATGTCATCATGGAGGCTAGGCACATGGCTCACACCTGTAATCCTAGCACTTTGGGAGGCCAAGGCAGGAGGATTACTTGAGGCCCAGAGTTCCAGACCAGCTAAACAACATAGCAAAACCCCATCTCTACCAAAAAAATAATAATTATAAAATAAAATATTAGCCAGGTGTGGTGGCATGCACCTGTAGTCCTAGGTACTCAGGAGCCTGAGGCAGGAGGATTGCTTGAACCTAGGAGTTTGAGGTTGTAGTGAGCTATGATGACACCACTGCACTCTAACCCAGGCAACAGATCGAGACCCTCTCTTTCCCCCTCCCAAAAAGTCGTCATGGTTGTATCTTGAAAAACTCTGCAATGTTTTATATGAAGTGTCTCCTCTTTTGGTTAGATCAGAATGTCTGCAAACAGCACAGATGGCATCCAAGAAATGTGAAATTTGATTGTGGTTCTCATAGTGCGTCAGGGACATTTTTCATTTATCAATAATTTAAATATATGTCTTATATGCTAATTATTTCAATATTTGGTTTCATTTGTTTATATAAAACAAATAAACCATCTTTTAGAAAATATCTTATTGAAGAAAGTTTAAATTACTGCTTTAAAATGTCAAATGTATATCTTTTAAAAATACATGTGTTTTTCATTGAGTTTAGTACAGTTATTTAACAAAGATATACTTTCTGAAGAAAAGAATTGAGTTTTCTCCTTCAGTGGTAAAGGGATACTATCCTTTTTAAATTAAATCCATAATATATCCTAATATTTTAATTTAGCTTTTTTTCTTAGATTGTTAGGAAAAAAGTGTTGCCTGATAGCAGTGAAGATCGAGATACAAAAGAAGCTTTAAAGGAGTTTGACTTCTTGGTTACATCAGAGGAAGGAGACAGTGAATCTAGAAGCGCAGGTGATGGAACAGACTGGGGTAAGGAACAATACTGTATCCAACCAGAGTTGTTAAGTAAATAAAAGAAATTAATGTTTTACCAAGAGGGCCATATCTTGAACTATAATGTTGAACTGTTGAATATTCTATGAACTTATTACTACTGTCACCTTTTATCCAGGGGGTGTATGTGTATTTTAGGAAGATTATACAATTAGTTACCTCAATCTTTAAAAAAATGTAAGCAGTATAATATGAAAAGAATTTAGGCCGGGCAAGGTGGCTCACGCCTGTAATCCTAGCACTCTGGGAGGCCGAGGTGGACGGATTGCTAAAGGTCAGGAGTTCGAAACCAGCCTGATGAGCAAGAGTGAGACCCCGTATCTACTATAAATAGAAAGAAATTAATTGGCCAACTAAAATATATATAGAAAAAATTAGCTGAGCATGGTGGTACATGCCTGTAGTCCCAGCTACTCGGGAGGCTGAGGCAGAAGGATTACTTGAGCCTAGGAGTTTGAGGTTGCTGGCTCATGCCAGCTAGGCTAAGGCTAATGCCACGGCACTCACTCTAGCCTAGGCAACAAAGTGAGACTCTGTCTCAAAAAAAAGAATTTGAATTAATATACAGAATATTCTCTGTTATCTGCCTAGATAGTAGAACTTGCAAATCTAGATGTTGTGGAAATTGAATAAGAGAATATAATGGAGGATTTTGTAGATCTCATCTCTGGCATCTTCTATGCAAAAAGAAGTATAAGTTAGAAAATTTTAGTCATTCAGTCTAATTTAGGTTTTGACAGTTTATACAAGGCATAGCTTTTTTGTTTGTTTTTCTCTAATTGGTCTAAATGAATCTACTTTTAAACATCTAGTAAGAGTTAAAACAAGTATTTTGGGGAAAATTCAGTAGCATACATCACTCTAGTAGTTTGGAAATGGCATTGTTCCTATCAATAAGGTAGGATTGTGATAAATTCTCCAAAAGTTATCAGTTCCATCAGGTGTGTGTGTATGTGTGTTGGTGAGTGTGAGACAGAGATCTCGATTGAGAATGAGAGAAAATTTTCTCTTGAGGTTGAAGAATTCCAGAACTCAGGTCTTATGTATACTTTAAAGACAGATCAAGTTACAGAATCAGTAACTATTCTCATTTTTCTTTAGAACTTTTCTTTGGGGCCAAGTGAAAATATATTAAACTCTGAATGTTTTATTCATTTAAGAAATGGATAAAGTTATTTTTTCACATTTATAATTTTTTTTTCCTACATAGTATAGTTCTGCTAATGATAACTTTCTACTTTCAAGGTTTTTTCAACACTAAAGCAAAGTTTTAAGGATAGTTCATCTTTGTTTTAGAAGTTATATTTTTACTATGTCCTATACATTTTGTGTAAAACAAGCATGTACAATTTCCTTATGAAGGGTTTAGGAAGCTAGTTTTCCAAGAAACTAATTATACTGGGGGGAAGTAAGTGACAAAATATTTCTTTCTATTTGGCTATTCTGACACATTAACTGTTGGTCTTCTCTTTAGTTGGCAGATTTAAAAATCAGAAAATGTTTCACTTCTTTGAGGTAAAAGGGATGAATGTTGGTTTCCCTTTTTAAAGTGCAGAGCATATTTTGCATTTTTAAACATTTTTTTTTTTTTTTTTTTGAGACAGAGTCTCACTTTGTTGCCCAGGCTAGAGTGAGTGCCGTGGCGTCAGCCTGGCTCACAGCAACCTCAATCTCCAGGGCTCAGCGATCCTTCTGCCTCAGCCTCCCGAGTAGCTGGGACTACAGGCATGTGCCACCATGCCCGGCTAATTTTTTTTTGTATATATATTTTTAGTTGGTCAATTACTTTCTTTCTATTTTTGGTAGAGACGGGGTCTCGCTCAGGCTGGTTTCGAACTCCTGACCTTGAGCAATCCGCCCGCCTTGGCCTCCCAAAGTGCTAGGATTACAGGCGTGAGCCACCGGGCCCGGCCTGCATTTTTAGATATATAACTTCTGTAGTATCAACACATCCACAGGGTAAATGTGACTAACTTAATCTTCCATGGGTTTATTAAATAGTTCACGACAGTAGGAATTACTTAAGTGCTAATGTACTAAACCTTTTTAAAAACAGTATTTGACATATTTTAAAATTAGACATTATTTACCCTTCTTTAGTGTTTGAGAAATGTTTGCCACATTTTTCTGCCACTCAGAAGTTAGAGCCCTTATACAGAAGAAATAGGATTATATGCTATAATTTGATACTGTGATTTAGTTTTCAAGACTTGTGCTTTGGCAGAGGGGAAAGGTAAGAGGCAAACATGTGAAAGGTTAAATTATTTCTATTACTTTGTTTTGAAATTGTTTACAAGTCTGTGGTTTTGCCTCTCTAAAAAATTGTTTGCAGTTTTCTGACAGCTCTTGATGTGATTTTAGAATGTATTAATTTACTAATTGGTAAATTATATTTACTTATTTCAATACAGATTTATGGCATTGTACATGTGGTCCTGTAGAAATCTTAGTTAAAATATACTAAAGTATTAATGAGAGGATAATTGAAATTTTAATTTAAAATTTCTGATTTCTTTTAAATTTAAGATATTGATCTTTTTGCCAGTCTTTGAGAATTTTAACTAAAACATGGAATTACACTGAACAATACTATGGATGAATCTTGTTTTTAAAAAGTTGTTAGAAATGGTACATATTGAAGTAATTTTCTTTATCATAAATTTTCATCCCCTTTTATTTGGTCTCCTACATTAAATATAGATTGCAGCATACCTTTAAGAACTAAAGGTGCAGTTGAATAAAAAATTAGATAAAATGTAAACTTTAATTTTTTTTGGTATAAAGTAAGTTTTAAAAATTATATGTGTATACAAAAAATTAATAAAGATGTCTTGATTCTCTGTTAAAGTTACATGTACAAATACTCTTAAGTTTATATTTAAATTTTTATATAGATATTTAGGGTGAGACTTATGGTTTGTGTTACTTTTTACCCATTGAGACTTAAGAACATTTGATAGGTTATTTCAGTAGACTCTAATGGCCTAATAATTTAGGAAGTATTTATTTATTGAGAGACTGCAGTATTGCTAATCATTTTGGTATTATTTTAAGTTTATCTTTATAAAAACTTCCATTAAGTTTTCTTAAAAACTGAACCAATGGTTTCTTATTTGAACTAGATGATCCTTTAAGTTAACATTTCGTCCATAAAGGTAAAAGTAGCTACACACTTGGTATGAAATTGTTTTACAGAATTATTATTATTTAAATGTAGATATACCACATTTTGAACTTTTCATCTACTTTTATTCAAACACCTACATTAAATATAGATTTTAATATAGCTTCAAGAACTAGAATAGGCCAGGTGTGGTTCAGGCTTGTAATCTTAGCACTCTGGGAGGCCAAGGCAGGAGGATGGTTTGATGTCAGGAGTTAGAGACCAGCCTGAGCAAGAGTGAGACCCTGTCTCTACAAAAATAGAAAAATTAGCCAGGCATGGTGGCATGCACCTGTAGCCCCATCTACTATGTAGGGAGGCTAAGGCAGGAGGATCACTTGAGTCCTGGAATTGGAGGTTACAGTGAGCTATGATGACGCCACTGTACTCTAGCCAGGGGACAGAGGGAGACTCTATTAATTTAAAAAAAACACAAAAACAAAAAAGCAGAGATCATGACACTAGAACACAGGTGTATTCACTTCTGTCCAAATGTTTCTTAGTATATTTTGTTGCTTAAAATGAAGAACTTTTTTACTTTTTAGTTACAAACATTAGAAATACTTAAACCCTAACTGTCTGTGTATTTCTTTTCTAAAAGAAATATAAAAGAATTCTAAAGCCAAAAGGAAAAAACTAAGATACTTTTTCCTTCTCTCAGTTGTGTTAAAATTTTTTTTGAAAATTTTCGTTCTTTACACTTGCTTAGTTATTATATAGTGGCTGATAAGAAGACTTTCTTGAGTAAGTTCAGGGAAAAAGTGCCTTTTTTTTTTTTTTTTTTTTTGAGACAAGGTCTCACTCTGTTGCCCTGGCTAGAGTGTAGTGGTCTCATCACAGCTCACAGCAACCTCAAATTCCTTGGCTCCCATGATCCTCCTGCCTTAGCTTCCTGAGTAGCTGGGACTACAGGTATATGCCACCACACCTAGCTGATTTTTTTTTTGGTAGAGACAGAGTCTCACTCTGTTGTTCAGGCTGGTCTGGAACTCCCGGCCTCAAGCAATCTTCTTGCCTTGGCCTTCCAAAGTGCTAGGATTATAGGTGTGAGCCACTGTGCGTGGCCTTGCCTAATTTTTTAATAAACAAAAGTAGATTTTTTATAATCTTTTATTTCCACCTGAAACACCACACAATGAAAAAAATTTGTGATCACCTCAAGGAAAGAAATGTTCTTCCTCTGTTTATTGTAAATAATTCCAGTAACACAAGGTCTAGAGGAGATATTATGTTGATTTTTTTTTTTCACTTTGCATTCAAAGTAGACTTCCACTCACTTACTTTTATCAGAAAGCATTATAATGTTAGTGGCATTTGTTGAATTTTTTAATGACCTTTCCTGTTGGAATGTTAAGTTGCTACAGGTTCAGTATCCCTAATTGAAAATTCGAAATCCAAAATGCTCCAGAATCTGAAACTTTTTGAGGGCAACATAATGCTCAAAGGAAATGCTAGGAGCATTTTGGGTTTTAGATTTTTGGATCAGGCGGGCTGAACCAGTATAATGCAAATATTCCCAAATCCAAAACAAATCCAAAATCTGAAACATTTCTAGTCTCAAGCACTTCACATAAGGGATACTCAACCTATAGTTGTTTTATTTTGCTTTTGTTGGACCTTTTCATGAGAGGAAGGAACCGATTATATTTCTAAGCCTAGGTGACTTCTTACTGCCCTTTGTGCGCACTTCAAAAATAATTTTGAGGCTTATTGGTGGGTCATTAGCCCCAGAATCATTAAAAAAAATTTTTTTGATGCAGTGATAATATTAATAGTAGTAACTTACAGCCATAGCACACAGATTTTTCATCTGCCTTTATTTTAACTTAAATCATGTAAATTTGCCATTAGGATAGTTAACCCTTTAAGATCTTACTTTTCAGGGACTCTGTTGTGGTGCCAGTGCCACTTCTTTTCCTTTTTTTGTGGAAAATACTTGAAGAATTATTTAAAATAATTACTTGGTCATCGAAGACAACAATGGGTATCTAGTGAGTGACTTTTCTTTCAAGAGAACAAAGTTTGGAACCAAGGGGAAGTTAAAGTGAAATGGGTCTGTCTTATTCCGTACTGAGCTTATATATCATGTTACTCAGATATTTTAAGCAACAAGTCTACCAATATAGCTAGATCTACTTGTGCTATACTGAAGTCTTTCCCTGAGGAATCACACATCTGCACAGCTGTTACTTGGCCCTTTTCATTGCCAGTTTTATTGCTGGGGTACTTGGGATTCGTTTTCTCTGAGTACAGCTGCACTGTCCCTTGTGTAACTTCTTTTACTTTAATGTGTGAATCACAGTCCAGTGTATTATATGATACATATGTGTACATTTTAATTTATATATGAGTCACATGAGTAACTGTTCTCACAACTGAATTGTCTTATTGTTTAGTAATTTGCTAGATAGCTTTGTGATGAGTATAAGTCAGTGGAATCTTTCAGTTGACTGGAGGTTACTATACCAGTAGTTTGGCCTGTGTGTTTTCAGGATTTTATAATTCAAATTTAGAGCATTCACTTCTAACAGTTTAGCAAAAGTAGATTGCAAATCTTGTTTAGTTGAACATTTAAACCAGTTTAAGTGTTCCCTCCATCTCTCTCCCATCGATTCCCTCAAAAAAGAGTGATATGCTTAGGTTAAGAATCTGGTTAGTTTCTGGCAAGTTAAGTAGATTTTACCATACATCTTTGCTGATCTTCTATTGCTATTTTTTTTTTTTTTTTAGTCTAGTAAGATTATGATAAGGCTAAATTTTTACCTCAGAAAACTAAAGACATTCCAGAATCCAAAAGCCACTCAGTTTAATTTATTATTAAGAACCAATTGATGAAAAATAACATTTTTAATTCTTATGTCTTTTTGGAAATATAAAGATTATTTCTACTATTGATAGCTTATAGTTAAATATAAAAACATATTTATATATAAAAATATATAAAAAATATTTATATATAAATATATAAAAACATTGAGTTGTTTAAAATTGTTTTTAATAGTGTTATATTCAGTGTTACAAACGGTTTTCTAAACTGGATTGAAACTTAAATTCTGAAAAATAGATTTCTGTTTATTCTGATTTATTTCAGTTTATTCCAATCATTTATTCAACAAATATTGATCAAGTGCTTTCAATGTGCCAAGTCTTCTAGGTGAACATCCCTATTCCTCTGGTGCTTATCGTCTACTAAGATGATATAGGCAATAAACAGTAAATGATGAGATAGTGTATCAGAAGGTGATAAATACTATAGAAAATAGAAAAAGTAGAACAGGATAAGGCAGATAGGGAAAGCTGGAGTTAGGGTTGGGTGGAGAGAGGGCAGGTTGCAATTTAAAATAGGGTGATCATGGTAAGGCCCATTGAGAGGATAACAGTTGACTTGGAGTTAATGAGAGAATTGGCCATGTGGTATCTGGGGAAGAAGTGTTCAGGAAGAAGAAAGCCGGAGAAAATGCTCTAAGACAGCAGCAGCCCCAACATGCTTGAGGAATTCAAGGAACCTAGAGGGGCTAGAGCAGAGTAATTATGGGGGGAGTGTAGTAAGAATAGACCATATGATATAGGGCCATATAGACCTCTGGTGAGATGGGGAGCCATGGAAGGGATTAGAGCAAAAGGTGACACGATCTGATTTTGTTTTAAATCATTACTCTGGCTGCTATGTTGAGAATAGACTACCCAGGGCAACCAGTGTTGATAATAGACTTGGGACTAGCGACAATTATTGCAGTAATCCTAGCGAGAGAGATTGATCATAGTGATCAGAGAAGCAATGGAAGTTCTGAGAAGTTAGATGCTGGATATGTTTTAAATGTGGAGAAAACAGTATTTCTTGAAGTTGGGAAAGAAAGAAAGGTTTTTGGTCTGAGCAAATGCAAGCATGGAATTGCCATCAAAGGAGGCAGGGAACTTTGTGGATGGAACAGATTAGATAGGAAGACAGATTGAGAGTTTGGTTTAGTTTGAAATATCTATTAGAGATCCTAATGGAAATGTATCATGAGCATTTTGATATGAGTCTTGGGTTCAAGCTAGAGGTCTGAACTAACATTTACATAGAATTATATAGTATATAAATTATTTTATAATAAATATAAAATATATAGCTTATATTTACTCTTTAAATTTTCTTCTCCTGATATAGTGACAATTGATTATTGAATTTCTTTTCTACTAGAAGCTTAGTTTCCTGATTCAAGGATTTATAAATTAACACATTTAAATTGTTTTAAATTATAGTCTGGGCATGGTGGCTAAAGCCTGTAATCCCAGCACTTTGGGAAATCAAGGCAAGATTGCTTTAGCCCAGGAGTTCAAGACCAGCAAGGGCAACATAGCAATACCCTGTCTCTAAAAAAAAAAAAAAAAAAATTGCTAGGCCCAGTGGTGCATGCATGCGTGTGGTCCTAGCTACTCAGGAGACTGAGGCAGGAGGATCGCTTGAGCACAGGAGTCAAGGCTGCAGTGAGCTGTGATCATACCACTACACTTCAGCTTAGGCAACAGAGCTGAGACCTTGTCTCAAAAATAAATAAATAAGTAAATGAATAGTTTTAAATTTTGAATGAAGAGTAATACATTTTACAAAATGCTATTTATAAAGTCTATAAAATAAAAACCATTATTTATTGATGAACACATGTCAAAAGTATAAAATTCTTGATATGATGAGATCATTGGAGATTATTTTGTATAGTTTCTATAATAATCTCTCATATAAATTAGTATGAAGTGTTTTTTGTGAGTCCTAATATTAATAAAATTTTGAAAATGAGCAGTTCTTGATTGTAAGTGTTTGGGCTTGATTTACTAAAAATCACTAAAGTTTTCCAGGTTTTTTAAAATGTTTCTTTCAAGAGAAATTTATTAATAGTACCTAGGAAATTGAATTGATCATTGTTTCTTAGCTATTATATTTTGTGTTACTTATATATCTAATAAGCAGTGACTGGTTTTTTTTAATGATACTATGAAGAAAATGATTGTTATGTCATTCATACATATTGACTTAGAGTGTTCAATATTTTATTGAAAAAGGCTGTTTCATTTGTTTCACTCTGTTTAGAAAAGGAAGACCAGTGTCTCATGCCTGAAGCCTGGAATGTGGACCAGGGAGTAATTACCAAACTCAAGGAACAATACAAAAAGGAGAGAAAGGGGAAAAAGGGGGTGAAGAGTAAGTGGAAAACATTGTATATGTAAATCATAAATCTTGCCTCTTTTACATTTCTCAATTTTTTTTCAATGTTTTCCTAAAACTACTTACTCTTTTTCATTTCTGCTCCTGATCTCTTTCCTTTTCACCTGCTCTCAGGGGTTGAAATTAAATGGTTAGCTATTTGATTGTGAACTTAAAAAAAAACCCACATATGATTATGGAACCATAATAAATCCCAATAATAAATCCAGAGCCTCGTGAGAGTATTGGGCTATGTATTCAATCACAGTGATAATTTGATTTTTAAAAGTATATGTGCTTAATTATAACAATGATTTTTTTTCAGTGACAATTTTTAAAGCTTATCTAGTGTGACCCTCTGGCAGTCCACCAAAATTATTATTTATAATTTTAGATCTTGAAGAAATAAAGTTAATTTCTACCCCTGAATATTCCATGTGTTCATAGCACGCAGTTCATTTGCTCTCACCACAATATGCTATACAGGGCACAGAGTGAAATATATAATTTTTAGAAGTATTTCTAATTTAAAATTTTGGCCAATTTCATTTATAAGAGTATTACCAATTGCCTTTTTTCTTTTCAGTAAAATATGTGCCACATCAAAAACAGAAGCCAAAATGAAATTTTTAGCCCTGTGAATCATATATGTATAACTTTCATTATGCAAATTATTAATAAAGTTTAGCAATGGACCTAGTTAAGTATGCAAAATGGAAATATAAAAGCTTTCAAAACATTCCTGAAAATAGTCTTAAACATCTTTTTAGGAAAGCAAGGCTAAAACTACCTTCTTGGTCATCCACTCTCATTGACAATATAAATGTAGACCTGACTTCTCTTTTATGGCAATAGGAATTTCATTCTTTGAGATATGAAAGTAGTAAAAAGTAAGATTAAAATCAAACTTAGGCTGGGCACAGTGGCTCATGACTGTAATCCTAGCACTATGGGAGGCTGAAGTGGGAAGATTGCTTGAGGTCAGGAATTTGAGACCAGCCTGAGCAAGAGTGAGACCCCATCTCTACTAAAAATAGAAATAATTAGCCAGATGTGATAGTGTGTGCCTATAGTCCCAGCTTCTAGGAAGGCTAAGACAGGAGGATCACTTGAGTCCAGGAGTTCGAGATTGTGGGTGAGCTGTGATTCCACTGCACTCTAGCTGGGGCAACAGAGTTAGACTCTGTTTTAAAACAAACAAGCATTAAGAAATATATTTAAAATTGTAAAAGACTGGAAGGATACATTTTTCTTTTTCCCTCTTTATAGTTAAGCTAAAGCTTATTAAATACCAGTCATTCCTGTTATAATATTCTTTTATAATCTGGTAGTTACTTTAAAACATTTAAATCTTTACTTAAAATATCTTAGAATTCAGGCCAGGTGCAGTGGCTCACGCCTGTAATCCTAGCACTCTGGGAGGCCGAGGCGGGGGGATTGCTCAAGGTCAGGAGTTTGAAACTAGCATGAGCAAGAATGAGACCCCCTCTCCACTATAAATAGAAAGAAATTAATTGGCCAACTAATATATATAGAAAAAATTAGCCGGGCATGGTGACACATGCCTGTGGTCCCAGCTACTCGGGAGGCTGAGGCAGAAGGATTGCTTGAGCCCAGGAGTTTGAGGTTGCTGTGAGCTAGGCTGATGCCATGGCACTCACTCTAGCAAGACTCTGTCTCCAAAAAATAAAAAAATAAAATAGAATTTACAAATATTTAGCTTGAATTGATAAAAGTCAGTATTCATTATTGATGTCAGCAGTATGTACCAAGAGATGATGTCATTTAATGTTAACTCAATATAGGTTAAATCAGAGTGAAAAAGATTAATATTAAAACATATGAACATGTTGTACATTTTATCCAAATATACCAATAAGAAATTTAATCTTAAAGTGAGACATAATTTGTCATGGCTTTAGAAGCCATGACAAAACAAGTTAAACTGAGAAAAATTTGGATATCATACATGAGAAACAATTTCCAGATTAACTTAATGTTGAGATATTTCTTAGGTCATTATGCCAAAAAAATGAATGTCTTAAAATGTAAAATATCTTTCTATTGGAAGGGTGGCCAGGACTTATGTATTATAGAATCCATCTACTCTTACATTGATTATTCAATTCTTATCAAATATCAAGGCATCGCTGTAGTTGGAATTTAGCACTTAACTAAAACCGCACCATTTGACTGGAACAATATTCCTACTAATAGAACCAATTGGGTTTCCTGAATCAAGGGGTTATGATCTGTGTTCAGGCATGTAGCATGTGTTTTTTTTAGTGAAGAAAAATGACTCTCTAGGGTTGAAATATTAATGTCTTTCACTGAAGATTGGGGAACTGTACTTCAGCACATTTTATCTATTATTTTCAGTTCATGATAACTTGATGAAGTAGTGGTCTGGGAACAAGTAAAGACTTGTGTAAGTAAAAACATAACTGAAGCAAAGCTTTGAACTAGTATGTGAAGCATTAATTTTTAAAACACCATAACTTTTATTTAGTTGAACTGAAAATTTTTTTACTCATTAGAAAAAGTTTGAGTCTTTTTCATATGGTCTGGTGGAAACATTTCCAGTCAAATTGTGTACTCCAATCATATTATCTTGAAATATATTTCTAGGCATTAGTTAATATTGCTTTAAAATAGTTGTATTCTTTGCTGGTATAGGAAAAAAGCATAATGGACTATGGGTAAGATTTTCCCATTCTTAATTAAACTTATAACAGGAAAAACTACCGAAGATCTGTTTCAGCCTCTATCCTATATAAAACAGTCAAAACAGGGATGTGGGAGAATGAAGAATCAAAGCTCAGGTAAGTAATTAGCAGGGCATGAGACTTCACCTCGGGTATGATAGCTTCAGGATGTAAGACAATGAATGCAACTTAATTTAAGCAAACAAGCAGGGATGTTACTGTTTAATTCAGTATATAATAGGTTCACAATCTGTGATATCTGGCTGCATTTAGAGCAAATACAGTGGTTTGATTATAGAGTATTATTCTAATGGTCTAAATTGAACAAGAGCAGTCTTTCACATATGTAAATAGTGATGTTACTCCATTAGCTTAATTTTAAAATACATGTAAAATATTCTTTTCCAGAAATAATAAACTATTAAAATAATTTGAAAACTTTGAAAATACTTACCTAGTAAAATATTTTTAAAGGTAAATGTTGATAGATATGAAATAAGGCTTATGGCACCAGTTTGATGCAGTTGGATAATTCTATTTCCTCTTTTTTGTCTCCCCCGCCTTTTTTTGCCTAGGACCCAATAGGTCAAAACTACAAGATATGCTTGCTAATTTGAGAGATGTTGATGAACTTCCTTCATTGCAGCCATCTGTGGGTTCACCTTCCAGACCCAGCAGCTCCAGGCTTCCTGAACATGAAATTAATAGGGCAGATGAAGGCAAGTATTTAAGACACTCAAGCACAAAAATCACCTAGATATATATTAAATTCAGTCATTATGGCCAGGTATGGTGGCTCATGCCTGTAATCCTAGCACTGTGGGAGGCTGAGGTGGGCAGCTCATTTGAACTCAGGAGTTCAAGACCAGCTTGAGCAAGAGCAAGACCCCGTCTCTACTTAAAAAAAAAAATACAAAGAAATTAGCTGAACAACTAAAAATATACACATATAAATAATTAGCCAGGCATGGTGGTACGTGCCTGTAGTCCCAGCTACTTGGGACGCTGAGGCAGTTAGGATTGCTTGAACCCAGGAGTTTGAGGTTGCTGTGAGCTAGGCTGATGCCACAGCACTCTAACCTGGGCAACAAGAGTGAGACTCTGTAAATAAATAAATAAATGAATGAATGAATGAATGAATTCAGTCATTAGGTAGGACTCACCTATTTTACAGAGAATTTTATTCTACAAATACTTGGTCTGCATAGTATTTCCCAAATGCAGACTTTCTTGCATTCAAGGAGGTTTGATTCCAACTCCAATTTTTAACTTGGAAAAGGGTGCACACACTTAAAAACCAATTCTAAATTCTGGTTTAGGATATCCTCTAGTTCCACAGATGCCCATGTGGTAGGTCCTGTATATACCATTCCAACATTAGGAGTCTATAAATAGGTACTGAATGTTTACTTTGAGACTCCTAAATATTTCATTTAAGCATTTTATCAATTAATGAATGAAAAAGGGGAAAAAGTCAACTGAAAGTATAGTCACATTTTCTGTTTTCTGTTTTTCCTTGTTCCTTTCAGTCTTTGTCCATATGCATATATTTTTTATATAGATATATATTACATACATCATGTAAAATAATTCTATTTTGTTTTATTTACTTATATAAAATGATACAAATAGGCTGGGTATGGTGGCTTATGCCTGTAATCCTAGCACTCTGGGAGGTGGAGGCGGGAGGATCACTCAAGGTCAGGAGTTCAATACCAGCCTGAGCAAGAGTGAGACCCGGTCTCTACTAAAAGAAAAATTAGCCGGGTGTGGTGGTGTGCACCTGTAGTCCCAGCTACTTGGGAGGCCGAGGCAGGAGGATCGTTTAAGCCTAGGAGTTCGAGGTTGCTGTGAGCTAGGCTGATGCTGCAGCACTCTAGCCGAGGCAACAGAGTGAGATTTTGTCTCAAAAAAAAGAGTGACATTTTATTATTGACTAAATTAAATTAAATTTCTATTCTCTATTTTATTTTGACATTTTGCTTTTAACTGGTTTTTCTATGGTGGTTGTTGAAGGAATTGGATTTGTATGTTCTGTGTTATAAAGTAAGTATATTCAAGTTTATCACAAAGTAAAGCTGACATTTTGAAGCATAGTTGGCAGCTAATTAAAGTGTTCAAATGGATACTTTAAAAAAGTTTCTTTGAGACAGATGTTTTTAGATGAAATATACCTACAGAAAAGTGCTGAAATCATAGGGTACAGCTCACTGCATTATCACAAAGTCAGAATTATCACCCACCCATGTCACCACCCCCTAGGTTAAGAAGTAGAACTTTACCAGGGCCCTAAAAGTTCTGCTTGTGCTACCTTCTTCTAATCACTGCTCTTTCCCTGCTCTAGAGATAATTCTGACTTCTGATACCACATACTAATTTGCCTCATATAGGCAAATTTTACAGTTTTAACCATTTCATTTGAACTTTTCTGTATCCTTCCAGGTTACCAAATCATGAATTTTACTTTGAATGAGACCAGCAGTGTTCCAAATCACTTGTTATATATGTTTAGTGATTAATAGAAATTATTTGGGTAACTAGCATGAAATGAGGAAGAACACTTACTTTCCTTTAGTCATATAATTTTTCTGTATAGTGAAAAGGAAATGACACTGGATTATTATATTTGTTTCATATTTTACTTTTCTGATTAGATGATGCCTTTAGCTGTGGTTAAGATACGGAAAAGGCAGTCAGTTCTTTAGGATCTTTTACTTACTGAATTTTACTGTGTTTAATTTAAAATAATTAAATGTAAACATGCCCTTGTAAGAAATTTGATATAAGCAAATGAGACTAAATGTTGATTCTTTAGAGGTTTTTTAATGTTTGTTTTCCCTCTTCAGTGGAAGCATTGACATTTCCTCCTTCTTCTGGAAAGTCATTCATCATGGGAGCAGATGAGGCCCTTGAAAGTGAACTAGGACTTGGAGAATTAGCAGGCCTTACGGTGGCCAACGAAGCAGATTCGTTAACTTACGATGTAAGTAGTAATTTTATTTTTGATGTGTTTACTCAGTTTTTGAAAATGAAAAGTTGATTTTATAGAAAAAGATGGCAGTGGTAAAACTTCTTTACAAGTATAGAACTTGGTTCAATTTTTATTGTAAACTTTGGAAAGATAAACATTTTTCATATAACTTAGAGATAAAAATTTGGGGCTTTGCCTAAATCCATAAGTCAGTGTGGACTTTTTCTGTTACCAAGTTTGGGTTTTGTTTTATGTTTTAGGGCACCAGTGATTAGTTGAAATGCATGTCCATCTAAACAGCAACATTTGTCTTGCCTCTTTAGTACATTAGCCAATATCTTTTTGAGAAGCGATTTTAATTATTGGTAGGAAAAGATGTGTACAAGTGTGCTTTCCAGATGTTAAGGCTGACCCATCAAAGATGTAGACCTTTGTGCATGCATTTACTTAATTCCATACACAATTGTTTTATAAATGCATTTGTTATTGCTCATACAATAAATAATTTGTCAGGAAAAATAGTTGCTTATGTCATAGGTAAAGTATTGATGACCTATCTTATCATTTCATTAAATTCCTCTCATTTTGATAGTTAATTATGACTGTTGGAGAATACAGTGTAACCCTTGCAGCACACATTCCATACAGGGGATGTAGATGGATGCCTAAGCAAACTATAGGTATGATCAAGAAGCACTGCAAAGAGAAACTCTTACCACCCCACTCCTCTTCCTGAAAATCCAGCTCTGTGCTAAGTCCATTAGTAAGTCTTTTGGGTTCTGTCTCCAAAAAACAGCCAAAATCCATGTATTTCCTTTCACTTCCCGTCTTAGTCCATTTGTTTTCTCACCCAGAGCTACTATAATAACCATCTCATCTAAACGGACTCCTTGCACTCCATTCTCAACAAATATGTTACATATTTTTAAAAAATCATTTCTATTTCCAGTGTTTTTATAGCTTTATATTTTATATTTGTCTTTTAAAATCACCATTTAGTTGACTTTGGCTTTTTCATCTAATCTTTGACAAGTTTTGTCTTTTAATAGGAGCATTCAGTCCATTTCTTTTAAAAGTAATTAGTGATATATTTAAGTCCAACCTCTATTTGTGTGCACCTGTTCTTTGTTCCTTTTCTCCTATTTTTTGCCTATTTTGGGATTGATTTGTTTTTTTTTTTTTAATTCAACCCTTCATCCATTTACTATTTGGAGTTTATATACTCTTTTGCTACTCTTTTAGTGGCTACCCTAGAGATTATGAACTCTTTTAGTATTTGAAAAGTTGTCTGTAGAAATAACTTCAGACCTAAGATGATATCTTCCTCCAGAGAATATATTTTAATTTGCTTTTCTCAGATGTTTGCAGCTACTGGAAAGCTAGATCACTTCACTCCATTTTCAGTTAAGGGCTTGGCTTCTTCTAGTTCACCCTTATGTCTAAGATGAAACTTTTTGAAATCACAACCCAAGGCAAGTGGTTCACTCTCTTGGCAGGTCTTCAGTATCAATTTGTATCCCTGTGGCACTATAAAGCTGCCACAAGCACCACTCCGTTTCTCAGCCATTCCCTCTGGAATTAATAAACATTCTTTGGGGAAAAACAACTACAAATATTGGGCTCACCTTTTTAGTCCTCTTCTGGATCTTGGCCTGCATTTCTTCACTACTTTTTAACATTTTCTTAACATTTTGCTTTTCTGCTTGTCATTGGTGCAGAGGCAATCCAAGTTACCCAGTCCATCATGGCTAGAAGCAGAAGTTCCTATTAGATAGTTTTGTTGCCTGTATATTAACCCCACAAAGAGTTTATTTAGTATCTAAGGGAACTTCATTTTCTCTCTAGAGAAAGCTCATTCTTTTTTCATAGCTCTTAATTGTTAGAAAACTTGGTGTTATGCCTGTCACTGTGTTTTCAAAAGTAGTTCTTGGTTTTATTAAGCATATTAGTAATCTATTGCTGTGTAACAAATTATGTTGAAATGTAATAGCTTGAAAACAAAAAACATTTATTATCTCATAGTTTCTATGGGTCAGGAATCTGGGAACAGCTTAGCTGTATGGTTCAGGCTTGAGGTATTAATGTAGTTGGCAGTCAAGATGTTGGCAAGGGCTGCAGTCTTTACCTGAAGACTCAAGTTGGGGAGGATCTGCTTTCAGGCTCCTCATGTGGCTGTTGGAAGGCTTTGGTTCTTTGCTGGCTATTGGCTGGAGACTTTAGTTCCTCACCAAATGGGTCTCTCCATGGGCTTTTCTACAACGGCAGCTGGCTTTCCCCAGTGCAAGTGTACGAGAAAAGAGAGAGCAAGAGCACCTAAAATAGAAGGTTTTATAACCAGCCTGAGCAAGAGGAAGACTTCATCTCTACTAAAAATAGAAAGAAATGAACTGGACAATTAAAAAAATTAGATGAGAGTGGTCACACATGCCTGTAGTCCTAGCTGCTGGGGAGGCTGAGGCAGGAGGATCGCTTGAGCCCAGGAGTCTGAGGTTGCTGTGAGCTAGGCTGAGGCCATGGCACTGTAGCCCGGGCAACAAATCAAGACTTTTCTTTTAAAAAAAAAACAAAACCAGACATTCAGAGGGAATCTGATTGTTCTTGTATATGAAAACCTCTCAGGTGTTTAACAAGAGTAGACACGATTCAGGATAACCAGTCCCATTTCTTATAGTAGGTCTTTGCATGATACGTTTTGTGTTCTCTTTATCACCCTACTTGTGTTCTATCCAATTTTTTCTGAAAAATTTTAAGCTGTGTTCTACATTATAGTTTATATTGAGTTGGACCCCAAAATCCAGACTGCTTGGGCTTGAATCCAAATCCCTTTATGTACTAGCAGGGTTCTTTAGGCAAGTCTCTTAACTTCTCTTTTCCTGATGTGACTATAAAGTGTAGATAATGTTGATTCCTACTTCATAGAGTTATTGTGAGGATTTAGTGAGTTAATCCATATGAAGTATTTTTAATAATGTTCAAAATAATGGATAATGCTCAGAATAGCAACTGTTGTTAGTATTGCTATATTTTTTTCATAAATATGGTAATATTTCTTCAGTCTTTTACCAGTACACTAATGTGTAGCTTGATGATAGGGATACAGTCTAAGAAATGCATCATTAGGCAATTTCATTGTTGTGTGAACATCATAGAGTTTACTTACCTGAACCTAGATGGTATAACCTACTACACATCAAGGTTTTGTAATATAGCCTATTGTTCCTAGGCTATAGGCATGTTACTGTACTGAACACTGTAGACAGTTGTAACACAGTGCTAAATATCTGTGTATCTAAACATGTCTAAACATAGAAACGGTACAGTAAAAATACAGCACAAAAGATAAAAAATGGTATACCTGTATAGGGCACTTAACATGAATGGAGCTTTCTGGACTAGAAGTTGTTCTAGGTGAGTCAGTGAGTGAGTGGTGGGTGAATGTGAAAGTCTAGGACATTACTACACACCATACACTTTGGGTATACTAAGTTTATTTTAAAAGTTTTTCTTTAATAATTAACCTTAGCTTACTGTAATTTTTTAACTTTATAAACTTTAAAAATGTAACATTTTGACTCTTTTGTAATAACACTTAGGTTAAAACACAAATACATTGTACAAAAATATTTTCTTCTTCACGCCTGTAATCCTAGCTCTCTGGGAGGCCGAGGCGGGCGGATGGCTCGAGGTCAGGAGTTCAAAAAACCAGCCTGAGCAAGAGCGAGACCCCGTCTCTACTATAAATAGAAAGAAATTAATTGGCCAACTGATATATATATAAAAAAAAAATTAGCCGGGCATGGTGGCGCATGCCTATAGTCCCAGCTACTCGGGAGGCTGAGGCAGGAGGATCGCTTGAGCCCAGGAGTTTGAGGTTGCTGTGAGCGACGGCTGGATTGCCCCCCCAACGGCACTCACTCTAGCCTGGACAACAAAGCAAGACTCTGTCTCAAAAAAAAAAAAAAAAAAAAAATATTTTCTTCCTTTATATTCTTATTTTGTAAGATTTTTATATTTTTACTATTTTTACTTATTAACTTTTTTGTTAAAAACTAAGACACAGGCCGGCGTGGTGGCTCACGCTTGTAATCCTAGCACTCTGAGAGGCCAAGGCGGGCGGATTGCTCAAGGTCAGGAGTTCAAAACCAGCCTGAGGGAGACCCTGTCTCTACTATAAAAATAGAAAGAAATTAATTGGCCAACTAATATATATATATAAAATTAGCCGGGCATGGTGGTGCGTGCCTGTAGTCCCAGCTACTCGGGAGGCTGAGGCAGTAGGATTGCTTGAGCCCAGGAGTTTGTGGTTGCTGTGAGCTAGGCTGACGCCAGGGCACTCACTCTAGCCTGGGCAACAAAGCGAGACTCTGTCTCAAAAAAAAAAAACAAAAACTAAGACACAAACACACACATTAGCCTAGGCCTGTACAGGGTCAGGATCATTAATACTGCTGTCTTCACCTCCACATCTTTGTCCTGCTGGAAAGTCTTCAGGGGTTATAATACACATGGAGCTGTCATCTCCTATGATAACAATGCCTTCTTCTGGAATAACTCCTGAAGGACCTGGCTGAGGCTGTTTTACAGATAAAAAGTATGGTATAGTAAATACATAAACCAGTAACATAGTTGTGTATGATCATTATCCAGTATTATGTACTGTACATAAACGTACGTGCTAGACTTTTGACTGGCAGTGCAGTAGGTTTGTTTGTGCCAGCATCCCCACAAACACATGAGTAGTGCATTGTGCTATATTATAATAGCTATGATGCCACTAGACGATAGGAATTTTTACCTCCATTATGATCTTATGTGACCAGCATCATATATGCAGTCTGTTGTTGTTTGAAATGTAGCTATACAGCACATGACTGTATTTTGCTACTCTTGTTTAAACTTAGCATGATTGCTAGCCTTGGAGTGTGAAGAATTCATACATGGTGCTAATGTAAAGTCAAATACCAGCTACCTTTTTTAGCTTCCCTCTTAATTGGATGAAAAAAAACTTATTTTTCCAGTTGATGAGATGGAGTTACTGTGGAAAGAAAGAACATAACAATGTGTTTGTTTTACCAATGAAATGTATTCTTTGTATTATCCAACTGTCTCTACCAATTTTTAACATTTTCTGTTTCTAGTTTATAAACTTTATTTCCAGTTTGATGAAGAAAATTCAGCTATTAAAAAGTATTGAAAATCTCAAAATTATCATATTCTGAAATGTTAACAGTTTAAGGATAACTTAGTTTTTCAGCTCTTATCTAAAATTACATTTTCCATAGTATATATGTTGAATTACTTGATTTTTTAGCCCCCTAGTGAGTATCTATTTTACATTATTATTTGATTTGCTTTTTATATTGAATTATGTTGTTTTCTTATTACACCTTTCATATTTCTTCAAAGAAAACTACTGGTATATTGCTAATTTTGCCTCTTGGTTTGGTATTTACATTTAAAAATTATATTGTTTTGAAAATTGCAAAATGTCATGACTTAATGACAAATCAGCAAGAATTAATGTTGAAATTCAGGGTTTTTTCCCCTGTCCTGAACTAAATGTGTAGGTATCTCTGTTTTGTTTCTGTAATAGATCGCAAACAATAAAGATGCATTGAGGAAGACATGGAACCCTAAGTTTACATTAAGAAGTCACTTTGATGGCATCCGAGCCCTTGCTTTTCACCCCATTGAGCCTGTTTTGATAACAGCATCAGAGGACCACACATTAAAAATGTGGAATCTGCAGAAAACAGCCCCAGCCAAAAAGTGAGAATATTCTAACATTATTTGACTATTTTAGTTAACAGTTTTTCATCAGAAAAATATATATTTTATTTTTGCAATTAATTTTTCTAAATATTCTTGTTCATTCTTCTTCACTTCATCACATAATTTAGTGTTTTTCCCTTCATACAATCTAATGTCAGTTGGAAAACTGACACTTAGAAAGAAAGGGTATTTATTATCTGATGGTTTCCTCAAGGTTTGTGATACTGATTATAGTCCTTATACATACAATTGTTTTAAATGGCTGTCATATTTGGGGAGCACCTTAACTATACTGAAGATTTCTACTGTTCTTATAAATAGTTATAGGTATATTTAAAATCATCAAACCTCCACCCTCACCCTGCCCCATTGTTTACTAGGTGTGGGCTTACAGGGTAGAGGAGAGGAAAGGTTCGTTGAGAAGGTTGGAGGACTTCTCTTTGGTCTTTTCTTTTGGCCTTGAGCCTTTAGGTATTTTCCATACCCACCAATATATCAAGACTGAAAGGCACTGTTGTTGTCATCACTTAATTGCTAGTGCTAGCCTTGGCCCCTTGGTTCCTGTCTTAAATTATGGACAGACATGAGTTAATATAAATCCTTTAATTAGTCGCATAGCTAGACTTCATTGTCCCACTTGCTTGGGTCCTTATTGGAGCTCCTTTCCTTCCTTGGGTTGTACATTCTAGAACCAGCATCTGCCAGCAAAGGCCCTTCTGCCGTGTCAGGCACATTTGTTACTACAGGAGTACAACTGAACATCAAATGGAAGAAGTTACAGAAATTTTACTACTGGTAGAGGAAAGCTATTGCCCAGTTTAAAAGAGTTCAGTGGTACTCATGCTGTGAATCATACATAAGACAGATAAATTACTTGATTTGTCAGTCTGCATCAGCTCAACCAGATTGTGCATAAACCAAATGGACCCTCATATGGATCAGGTATTTTTAGCAGAGAAAAATAATTTCCAGGTTATACATTGTGCCTTTTATTTTTCTAGTTCATTGGTCGCAATGTGCTAGTGATAGTTCTATCACAACCACATTAGGCTAGAGATGTGAATGTTTCATCATGTATTCTTGACTAAAATTTAGAAAGATAATGAAACAAGTTTCTTAGTGGTGGTAACTTGTAAATAACAGTGATCTGTTTACCTTTGAATTTAAAACTTGGTAATGACTTGAAGGGAGATAACATTGCCTATAAATAACTTCATAACAATGTAGAAAATGGTAAGTACTTGACTTTAAATTCAGTGTCCATCAACAGTCATGGTCAATATTAGGTAGTGTATTGTGCCCATAGTGTTCTGAGTAATAAACTGGAGTCTTGAACAATTTCTACAGTATTGAGGATATATATGTTAACTTTCATGGAAAGGCAAGGAAGTTAAAACCCTTTGCACTCGCTTGCTTTTTTCTCGATTCCTTTATTCTACTCGGGATTTAATTTTTTAAATATCCCAGTTTTTACAAAGCGCGGCAGTAGAATAAAAAACTGGAGTTTCTTTTCATACAAATTTATTTGGATTTTTTTATATTTCAAATTATTGATACAGTCAAAGAGTAATTTTAATCTCTATAATTTTTGCTAACTGTGTCGAGTCATACTCGACATCCGAGTGCAAAGGGTTAAAGTACCATTTGTTGAAATCCTGCTATGTATATGGTTCTGTCCTAGGCTGTTTTTTTTGATAGTAGAAAAATTATTACTATCCTGTGAGTATTTGATATTTTTCTGTTTCGTTTTAAACAGAGAAATCTGAAGTTCTGAAAGATTAAATAACTTGTCTAAAGTTAGCCAGTTAATGACAGTACTAGAAATTGAATTCAGAAACTTATCCCTTCAAAGCCCATGTTGTTTCTCTTGAGTGAAAAACTCTCTTCCTTTAGTCAAATAGATTATGACAATGCTTAAGGCACTGTAACAAGGTATTATTACTAAACAAGGATCTTGTTTCTTGATAATATGAAAGAGTAATTGATGTTCAGTAAGCTGTCTTATGTATCCTATAGTTGAGAATGGTATATTACCATATGTTTGTATTTCTAAAGGCAATTTTATGACTTATATTCAATTATAGTGTTTTCTACTGAAACTTAAAGTGGTAAAATCATCTTCTTTGTCTGATTTAGGAGTACTTCTCTTGATGTAGAGCCTATCTATACATTCAGGGCCCATAAGTAAGTATGTGCTTTTTTCTTTATTTTAAACATCATTATAAAACAGCCTGATTAGAATATTTTATTTATTTTCACTTATGTATTTGTATTATTTATTTTTTGTATTTATTAGCATATTTTTGTAAATGTAAAAGAAACTGGCAGATAATATAATGCTACAAACAAGTTTGTTGCTGCCAAATAGGAATCCATGCTTAAATTTTTATTTGCATGATGTTTAAATAATGTATATATCTCTCTTAAAGTTGAGGCAGTTAGATTTAAGTATTAGAAATCCTGACTTTTTTTCCTTAAAGACACAAGAATTTTTTTTATTGTGATAACATATTGCATGTTTATCCTGTTTCCATTTAAGCTTAAGGAACGTGTCCATTCACGTGATTTAGCACAGAGTAGATACTTCTTATATAAAGAATCAGATAATAAATATCTTTAGGCTTCTAGGCTCTTAAAAAATATTTTAGGCTTTGCAAGCTGTATGCTTTCTGTTACATATTCTTTTTTTCTGTTGCGTATTCTTATTTTTTGTTTTGTTTTGTTTTACAACCCTGTAAAAATCTAAAAACCATTCCAAGCTTGAGGACCGTACATAAACAGATCACTGGATTTGGCCTGCAGGCCATAGTTCACCAACTCTAGGTTTAGCAGAGGAAGAAAACTGAACAATGCTTTGATAGTACCTGTATTTTTATTCATTATAAAAAGCAGAAAAATAACCATTTGAATAATTAAACATTCTTATTTTTAAAAAGTCATTATCAGATTGATTTTTGAGACTTGCAATTGATTTTTTTTTAAATAATCTCCCAGAGGTCCAGTGCTTTGTGTGGTAATGAGCAGCAATGGTGAGCAGTGTTACAGTGGTGGTACTGACGGGCTGATCCAGGGCTGGAATACTACTAATCCCAACATCGACCCCTATGACTCTTATGGTATGTGATTCCCCAAAGTCTCAAAGAATGAAATGTTTTCTTTCTATACATTTTTTCATAGTATATATAAGGATAAAGTTAGATAATTTAAAAAATAAATAGGTCAAAGAGAACCATGTCCTTCCTTTGTTAAAAAGGACTTCTATATTTAAGAATCAGTTTTATGTATAACATTAATAGGAAAAAAAAGAGACAAACATATTCTTGAGAAAGTAGTTCCCACCCCAACCCCTAAAGACGCATTAATTGGAAATGCTGGCTTGATTGACAATTGTTTTCTTCATCTTAGGCATCTGTGTAGTAATTTGATACATTATTACTAATGTGTGATCATATTTCACTATTCTTGACAAACAGCTTTGAAGGAAAATGAATGCTGGCATCATCCCCTTGATCAATTATTGGAGGGATGTAGAAGCTAATAACTTTTAAAGTCCGGGACACCAAAATATTTTAAAAGACCTCAAAAGTTAAGCAGTGCTCTTTAGTCTTAGGAGCAGTACCATAAATCATAATCTATCACTAAATATTACCATAAATTCCCTTGTAAAAACTGTTTAGGAATTGGCTATTTTGGTTTTCTCTTAGATGTTAGAATGGTTGAAGTGTCATGTTTGTCATAAAAACATATTTTAATTTCATTATCACTTTAGATTCATTTTACCACCAAACCTAAGTGAAGATAAGAAATTCAGTAAACAAAAATTTCGCCCAAGTTTTATTTAATAAACATTAAACAAATATTCTGTGAAAGGTAACTTCTCTTACAAATTTAGCTGTTTCATGCTTTTCCTTACTTCCTTTACCCTTCTCCCAGAGGATCCTCATACTGTACCAGGCCAGCTCTTCCCATTTTGACTTTATTTTTTTGGTTTCTTTGGGATTGTACTTTTTCTGTCTCTCTGTCTCGGACTGTATTCTATTCTCTTGCTCTATTGATCTCTCTAATCTTAATTAAACTGTACTCTTTTTGCTCTCTCTAACCCCTCAACATGTAAGTAAATTTAGGTAATTCCATCCTGGGCAAGGGGAAGCCTTTATTGACCCCATTTCCCTCTCTAGTTTCTGTTTAGTCTCTTTCTCGCCTCATCTGTGTTTCTTTGATATTGTCTAGAAAACATAATAGCTACTTGTTCCATGTTCTTTCCCTGTGCATCATCCCTCTGCGTTCTGGCTTCTGGTTATATCACTTAAATATTACAAGGTTGTCAGTGACTACCTGATTGCCTGAACCAAGGGTCTTTTACAGTCCTTATTTTTCTGGATGTTTTGGCTGTATCTGAGATTAACAACTCATCCTTTTTGAGTTCATCCTTCATCAGTTAACAACTTCATCCTTTTTGAAATCTGTCTATTCTATTGGCTTTTTTGACATTTCATGACAGTTTCTAGTCCCTATCCTTCATGAACTCCTTTCTTTTCTTGCCTTAAATATTGGCATTTATCAAGGCCCAGACCCTAACTCATTCTTTGCAGTGTACAAACATTCCTTGGGAGATTAAATTCACTTTTATGATTTTATGTGCTATTGACTATGTACTATTACTATGCACTATTACTATTATGTACTATTGACTCACAAACCTCTTCTTTAAGCTTCAGACTGCCTACAGGAAATTTCAAAGTGACTTGTCACATTGTCTATAAATCCCAGCATGTTTGTATTTCTTCTCCCATATGCTCTATTTTAGTTGGTGGCACTAACAGAATTACCCAAACTAGAAACCTAAGAATTACCCTGATTCCCTGTTCTGTTGTACTATCTACAGTTACTTAATTACCTAGTTTTTTGGTAATGACTCGCTAGATATTTCTCAAATTTACTTTTCCTGCTCTGGCCCTTTATCACTGCCCCTTGCTTAGGTGTTTACCATCACTCCTCCAGTCTACTGAAACAGTCCCCTTGTCTTCATTTTGATTCTGTCCAATCTGTCTTCTGTGCTATAGCTAAGGTTACTTTATTAAATACTTGCATGACCCTATTGCTCCTGGGAGACCCTATTGCTCCTGGGAAACCCTTCGGTGGTTCCATGTTGCTTTCAGGATAATTTCTAAGTTCCTTACTATGTCATAGGAATCCCATCATAAACTAGCTGCCCTCGTCCCATCCACTTTCTGCCTCAAACTCCACACTCCAATAATACAGAATTGCTTATAAATTTCCTCTCATATCATGCTATTTTTTCTTTTGTGGTTTTGTAGGTGCCACCTCCTTGCCAGGCACACTTTCTTTCTCTTCTCTGACTGGCTGACATCTGTACACTCTGGGAGTCACTCTCTCTTAAGTTTTTACCCATCCCAGTTACTCTTAGTAGTAACTGGTGTCTGTCACTATTATTATACTTTAAACATTGTCTTTTGAGGATGGGGACAGTATTGTGTATCATCTGTTTTGCTCCATCATTGAACATAGTGCCTGACACATATTGTGTCTTTTTTTTTTTTAAACCCATAGTCCAGGAGAATATTGTGTCTTTAATAAATAAGTTATGGTATGTCTGAGAGAAGTTATGAGACATAATACTGTTGGCATTTCCAGACTTAACATCTGTGAGTATCTTGAAAGTACCACTTCATAGAATCATTGTGAGGATTCATAAAGTTTCCAGTTTGACTTTTATGAGACTGTGCCAAATGACCTTCCTTACCTCCCTTGCCCTTCCTCCACATACATATCACCCACATCTCAGTTACTGCTGTTTGAGAATTTGGGGATTACTATAGTATCAGTTCATGTCCATTATGAATGTCACACTTTTAGGAATAACTGCCGTTCATCATACAGTAGGATAAGTGGCCAAAAGGAGGTATAGTCAAAGTAAAATGCTAAAGGACTTCAGAGAAGGGAAACATCTCTCTGTTTACTTCCTCAGGCAGTATGAGTTCTGGTTTTTCTAAAAGTATAATAGATTAAATTCACATCATTTGTATTAACATGCTTTTTAAAAATCTAGACAAATGGAAGGACAAAAGGGGGAAGGAAATAAATAATTTTTTAAGGATAAAAATACATGCTTTTAATTTTAATTTTTAAAATTTAAACTCTATATTTGCATATTTCCAAGCCTATTTTTAATTACTACAGCATTTCAGAAGACTAATAGAAACTTAACAATCGTATTTTATACTGTTATCAGGTGCTTTTGTTTATATACTTTACTTTCTCTGGAATCTAAGTGCCTTTATGATTTGGGTTTTTTCCTCCTAATTTTGCATTTTTTGCTTTTCTGTATAGATCCTTCTGTTTTAAGAGGCCCTCTACTAGGCCACACAGATGCAGTCTGGGGTTTGGCTTATAGTGCAGCACATCAGCGTTTGTTGTCCTGTTCAGCAGATGGCACTCTGCGTTTGTGGAATGCAACTGAGGTTGCTCCAGCACTAAGTGTATTTAATGATAATCAAGGTATGTACTTTAGAAAATTATTTAGCTGAATCTTTTATAAAACATCTTATTCTGAAACAAGCAAATAAATGATTCTATGAACTCTTTAAATTTAAGTTAAAGGTTTTTGAAGCAACAAAAGTGTATTTGTTTGAATGTCCAACTTATATATAGTTTTTAAAGGCATTGGATTTGGTGAAAGAAAACATAGATTTTAAGTTTGTAAAATTGAGATATAATTTATATACAGTGAAAAACAGATGTTAAGGTACATTTCAGTGAGTCTGATAAGTGAATTTACCCCTGTAACTCACTGAGCTATCAAGACAAAGACCATTTCCTTTACTTTCCCCCGAAGTTCTTTCATGTCCTTCCCAGTCAATCTGCTGCCTACATTCCTAACCAGAGGTACCCACTATTGTGATTTCTTTAATCATAGATTAGTTTCATCTATTCTAAAACTTCATATAAACGAAATAATACAGTATGTACTCTTTTGTATCTGGCTTTTTACTCTCATTATTATGTTTCTGCAATTCATCCGTGTTGTGTCAATTTATTTTTTTATTTTTATTTGATAGTATTTCATTAAACCATAATTTGTCTATTCATTTACCTCCTGCTGGACATTTGGGTTGTTTCTGTTTTTTTACTATTACGAATACAACTGCTATGAACATTCATATATTTTCATCATAGGCGGGTAGAGACCTAGAAGTAGAATTGCTGGTCTTTCAGGTGGGTGTTTATTTTACTTTATGCGAAATCGCCAAAATTTTTTTCAAAAATTTTGTGGTTGTACCATTTTACATCATTGACAGCAATGTATGAGAGTTCCAGTTGCTTTACATCCTTACCAGCATTTGGTATTAGTCTAATTTTAGCCATTCTGGTGAGAGTATAGTGGTATTTCATTTTAATTTTAGTTTACATTTCTTTGATAGCTAATTATGTTGAACAATTTTTTGTTTGCAATTTTTTGTTAACCATTCATATATTATCTGCAATACACACATTTTTGAACTGTTAGCTTGTTGTAGTTAGATTTTGAGCAAAATGGAAAAAAAATCACTGTTATATCATTCTATTTTTAATGTTTATACATAAGCTTCAACTTTCAACCTATTTAGATAGTGAATAAAAATATGATTCTTCTTGACCTATCATAGATAGCTTGTTTCTCAGCTTTAGAGTTTTCATGTGATACTTGCCTGACTCTTAATAATAATAATTGGAAATTTTACTTTCTTATTTTAAATTTTCATGTCACATGTTAGGATGAAATTTTACTTTTTAAATTTCATATTTTTGATGAGTTAAAATTCTTAGTGAGAGATGAGTTTTTTAAATGAAGAATTCTCCTTATGCCATTCTGAGTCCCAGATTGAGGTGGAAGGAGCAAATTTATAGTTCTTACATGTTTTCCATTTGCTTTCTCAATAAAGGTTTGCATTCCATGAATGCAATATATTAGCTGAGTAAACTGAACAGGTAAGGATAATAAATAGACTACAGCTAAAAATTACAAAAGAAATAATCTGCATTGAGTTGTTATGAGCTAATTCCTACTCTTATGACAAGCTTTGTTTACTTCTTAAGGAAATCATGCATTACTTGTTTTGCTATATTTTAAGTACATTGCCAAGTACACACTTTAACTGCCATTCTCTTTGAATATGTTCTGACTCTTAGAATTGGGAATCCCTGCCTCTGTGGATCTGGTAAGCAGTGATCCAAGCCATATGGTAGCATCATTCAGCAAAGGATATACAAGCATCTTTAACATGGAAACCCAGCAACGTATTCTCACTTTAGAATCAAATCTAGATACACGTATGTATACTCATTTTAAATAGTCTGTGTTTGGATTAATTTTTAAAATTTAATCAAAGTTATAACTACTGGAGTCAACCATTATGAAAAATACTTGTTATTATAAGCGTTCTGCCTCCTAAATGTCAGAACACATTTACTTAGAAGGATACAATGACTTACAGTTGGTTTTCAGAATTTGGGTTAAGTTTATGTACATTTCAAACTATAATATTTGAATAATAGCATTTGAGCTATTCCAAAGATGAGTCAAGTTCAATTTTATGTCAGATGATTAATTTTCAGTTCTATTTGAAAAAAGCAATATTCATTCTGAATGGAAAATAAAATGTTTTTATTTAAATCATTTAATTTCATATTAATGATATAATTTGATGCAGCTCCATACTGATTAGAATATGGATCACATTGTGGCTCTCAGAATCCCAAGTCTGTGGCTTCTTATCGGATGTAGGAAGTCAGGAAATCAATGTTTTTGAGGTTGTAAAGAGGATTTTACGGAAAATTTTAAAGAAGAATTTTGGTTTTTGGCACTTTAAACCATTGCTTTCTGTCTTTAGTCGTAACAATCACAATGCAGGTTGCAGCTGATAAAGAAAACCACATATACTGTTGTTTTAATGTGAGAACTAGCTTTTAAAATAATTACATGTTGTGTATATGCACATGTGTATGAAATTGTCCATGTGCATGCATGTGCATGTGCTTGTCTCCCTCTCTCCTCTTTCTCTCTCAATTTACCATCATTCCATTTTGGTTTTCCTTATTTTCCCTTCCTAATCTGTTACTCTTTGTTTCCTTCTGATATGCTTTGTGACTTGTTTGGGGAAGTAGGCATGAATAGAACTTTGAGCTATTAGATATAAAAGAGAGAGAGACAGGAAAATAAAATTGAGATTATAGAATTGGAAAAAGAAATTTTTTTGCCAAGAAATGTAGGTTTTAGGCTCTCAGTAAATTTAACAATGACATTTAAATATATGATCTAAAGCTACAGTAGTCAAATAGAAAACCAATATCAAATTAAGAAAGATGTGAACATTTTTGGAATTACTTTCAAGGATTGTGGTCAATTCTTAGAATAACCTGGATGGCAAATAACTGATTTTTAATGACTGCTGTGAGTTAATAAGACTTAGATTCTGGTGGGTAAAATGGATACAGCAAACTAGGTGACCCCATTTTTTTTTTCCCCAAGAGATGTGATCATAAAATAGTATGACTTTTTGCCTGATACTGGAAACATTTTCGGAAGAAGATTGCGAAGAATGTTTTTAACAAAGGCAACATTTGAACATTATTGGAATAAGTGATAATTATTTTGAGTTATAATATACTCTGACATTTCCTAAGTTACCAGTTTTATTACTTTTAGAGTTGTATAAAGCAAACTTAAATTAGTTTTTTATTATGTTTTACTGTGGACTACCTTTCTGCTGTTTATATTTATATTTGATTATGTTGTTTTATTCTGGAATTTAGCAGATTTTAAAAAAAATTAAAGTTCAGACCAGACTTGCTTCAAGGTAAAAGTGAATTTCATACAGAGTTTTAAATGATGAAGGATGTTTGTTTTAAAAATAAGAATAAGGCCGGGCGCGGTGGCTCACGCCTGTAATCCTAGCACTCTGGGAGGCCAAGGCGGGCGGATTGCTCGAGGTCGGGAGTTCGAAACCAGCCTGAGCGAGACCCCGTCTCTACTAAAAATAGAAAGAAATTAATTGACCAACTAAAAGTATATATACAAAAAATTAGCCGGGCATGGTGGTGCATGCCTGTAGTCTCAGCTACTCTCGGGAGGCTGAGGCAGGAGGATCGCTTGAGCCCAGGAGTTTGAGGTTGCTGTGAGCTAGGCTGACGCCACGGCACTCACTCTAGCCTGGGCAACAAAAGTGAGACTCTGTCTCAAAAAAAATAAAAAATAAAAAAAATAAAAATAAGAATAAATTACCCTTCCTCTCATTTGATGAGCTGTGATAAAGTCAAAGGTAGCTGAAGCAGATAAGTCACAAGCTGAATGTGAATATTTGAAGGATTGTTTTGGATTCATTATTAGAATATGCTGCTAGGCCTTCAATTTATTTCTAGCATTCTTTGCATTTTGCCTACTTCTCTGATTTACCATCAGGTGGAGAAACTGCCTTAAAAGCATTACCAAGTAATAACCTTTATCTTGGCCTGCTTTCATGATTTGATTTCTATCATATTAATTTACTAGCTCTCAAAGTAATTGAAGCTATTCTCTGAAACTTCTCTCTCAGAATTTATGGGATATTTCACTTAAAGTATTTCTTTTTTGTTGTTACTATTTTTTCTCTTGCTAGACCTTACAGAGAGTATTATTCAATGGTGTGTTGTCTGTGGAGGAAAAAAATCTATAGACTGAATTTTGAGACCAAGCATCTCTTTGTTTAGGATTGTCTAAATGAAATGTCACTGATCAAGAATTTATTCTACATGGTCAAGTGACTTTTTTGTTCTATATTTAAATAACAAGTTGAGTAATCACCTGCCACTAGCATTGGAAAAAGATGATCTTTAGTTTCTAAGATGTCATATTTCTAGGAAGCACATGAAAATCAAGTAAGATTATACTGTTTTTAACTATATTTTATATTACATGAATGTTAAACTCATAATACCTATTCTGGGATTTAAAAAAAAAATTTAACTCTTTACTTTAAAATAATTTTAAACTTGCTGAAAAGGTATAAAAATAATACAAGAAATCCTGGGTATCCTTTAACCCATTTTTAGCAGTTTTGAACATTTTGCCACATTTTCTTTGTCACTCTCCATACATGTGTATAACTTTAAATTCTGAACCACAAGAAAGACATCATGCCCCTATTTCCCTAGATTCTTTAGCATGTAATTCCTAAATACAAGAAGTATAAGGACATTCTCTGACATAACACATTACAGTGTTCAAAATCAGTAAGTTTAACATTGACACAATACTGTTACTTTTCATGTTCAAATTTTGCCTGTTGTCACAATAATGTATTTTATAAGGATATTCCTTCTTCTCCTTGGACCATGATTTAATTTTTTAAAACTTTCATGTATCCTAAATTAGTGTTATCTTTATGTCAATTTTTCTTTTTTCTCACAAAAAAATATCTTAAAAATCACTGATTAATTTAAGTTTTTAATTATTGATTTCCTTTTGATAAAAAGTTCTTAGGAAGAACTTGTGGTATAGTGTAGGAACCAGTTTTGGGAGTTGTCTGATTTGCATGAGCCGTCTAGTTGGGATAGAGTTAGAAGATAGAATAGGTAGTGGTTTTGTTGCCTGATTTTGGGGGAGTCACAGGTTTCTGTGGACCTTGGTGCATTCACTGTGATGTGGGCTTAATGATATGTGGTGTGTTTTATTGTGCATATAATTGAAATTTCTTTGAAAGCTATTAAATAGTATACAAAAAATACTATTAGGGTGCTATTTTAAGATTACAAACCAGGTACTGTCAAATGATGACCATTTCTATTATGAGGAGGAAGAGTGAAAAAGAGAGGGTTTAAAGGTTAAAAAGCTCTGTCATATTATCTTTAGATGACAACTGTGTGATGAAGAGCTTTGTATGTAAAAAGGAGCTAAGATTTAAATTTGAGAATTATCTCCATGTAAATGATGATGGAACTTTGTATTAAAGTAGCAAAAATATCATAGAATGTTGTAAAGTGGGAAATAGCAGCAGCTGTAAGCTAAGCTTTATGTGGGACCCATAGATAGCAAATGATGGAAAGGAAATTCTAATTCTTAGTTATCTCTAGATTATCACTATAACATAGCTCAGGCAATTCTCATTTCCTAACATTGAAATTATGGAAATAATCACAGAATAAATAAAAGACAAATTAAAGTCACATTATTTACTTTTTCAGTCTTTAAGATGAGTATTCAGTTCTCCTTTCTGTGAAAAATAATATTTTTAATCTGTGTTGCTTTTTAATTTTTTTTTAGCAGCCAGCTCTTCCTGCCAAATAAATAGAGTCATCAGTCATCCTACTCTTCCCATCAGCATCACTGCTCACGAAGATAGGCATATCAAATTTTATGATAACAATACGGGTAAGAATTTATAAAGAATTGACTTTTATTAAAGCAAAAAAATCCCTGCTACAAGTACGCTAGTTTTGGGGTCTGTGGTGGTTTCATAGTCAAGGAATGGGCACAGAACACAAATAGTTTCCTGGTTCGGTTTCTGTTCATTCCATTCAAATCTGCTAAGACTGGTCTTCATTATAACAGTACAGAATCGATTTGGCTTATTTGATAGTCAGTAAATGCCATATTTAGGCCCTGGAGCCAAGCTTGTCACTGGGGACACAAGAGAAAATATATTCCAATACCACTCAATATGATCTGTTGCTATGATCTATTGCAGTATACTGGGGAAAAGTAGAAACATGTTGGAAGTAGAGGCATATGATCATTATATGTTGTTTAAAATTGTTCATTTATTGAATATCCTTATTCAATATTTAATTATTTAGTGATCGAATAGCCTTGTATACAGTGTTGCATAGGGGATACCCCCAGGTCATTTGGTTTATTTTATTTGTTTTTTCATGGACTAATCTTTTCTGTGTTGTGATACTGACGATTTGATCCTGATTGATTTGAACTGGGGCATGGAGGCTTTCCCAATTCTTACTGGATTATATTACACCAGTTTAAAGGAAATTCATGAAGAGCTTTGCTGGGAAGGAAGCACCCTGTTTTACTGTCACAGTTACCAAAGCATCTGCTGTTGGCATTGTTAATATGTTGACTTTTGCTATCTTTGCTTAGCTGCTAGTGATGAGTCATTTAATATTTTTCATTTCTTTCTGTATGTTATTTTCACCAAAATTATAGCCATGTTTTTCTTTCTGTTCCTTTGTCTTTGTCTCAGTCTTTTCTCTCTGTGAATTTGAACTCTGTTCTCACAATCCATATAATTTACCTGTAGCTAACGGATGCAAAGTGGGTGATTAATAATGTCTATATTCTAATTAATGAACACAGCTTAAGGGAATGTTCGTGTAGAAATTATTGACTTCCACATTGTGGTTTAAAAGACAAAAGTGTAATCTAAAATTTGACCTTCTTTTGAGCATCATTACCATGACTAGAGGCAGGAGGGACACAAGTGTTGTTTTAGATGATGGAAAAAGCTGTTGATACAGAGGCTGGATGCATTTTTTTTTTTTTTTGGTAGCAAACTTTTATTTAAATCTTACATAACTCAAGCTTTATAAAAAGCCAACATAATTTGAAAATTGGGTTCTCCCTCTAGAGCCTTAAGTATTCAAAGTTTGAAACAGTTAATTTAAAAGTAAGCAAACAAATAAAACAACAAAAGCCCTTGCAGCAGTTCCTGCTGAAATACTTAAAAAAAAAATCTAAATGAGCTTAATCTTTACAAAAGTTATTTTAGCTCAAAAGCTGTAAAATCAAAATTATCTTAATTCTACAAAGAAGAGAGAGGGTCTCTGACTTCATGCCACCATTCCTTATAACCTTATCTTTTTCATCAAATTTGGCCACAAATCAAATTTCTCTGTGCCCCTGTTTTCAAGAGATTCTTCTTGCAGAAGAGGCTAAGTATAAACATGGAAGAGTAACTGCCTAAGCAAGTAGGAAAATGTTCTGTAATAGTGTGCAAAGAATGTAGAGTTCTGGGTTAATCTCTGTAACTTGACCTGGACCTTCATCTTGACTTTGAGCGAGATCTAGAATGGGATCTTGAAGTAGCTCTTTTTGGTGGAGGGGACACAGAACGAGCCTTTAAGGGTGGAACAGGTAGGGGTGAATTGGAACGAGACTGGCTTCTTGATCTGGATTTTGACTTTATATCACCTTTTGCATTTTCTTTGGGGGATCGAGACTGTGACCAAGACCTGCTTCGAGATTTCTCATACTCCTTAGATCTGCTTTGGGTCCAGACTGGGAGCCCCTATCAGACTTGGGCTTAGATTTGCTCTTTGACCTAGATTTCCTTCCCTTTCATTGAGAACGGGATTGACCTTTGCTCGGCGACCTGGATCGGGAGCGACTTTTCGAGTGGCTCATGCCTGTAATCTTAGCACTCAGGGAGGCTGAAGCACTAGGATCCCTTGAGGTCAGGAGTTTGAAACCAGCCTGAGCAAAAGTGAGACCCTGTGTCTACTAAAAATAGAAAAAATTAGCTGGGTGTGGTGTCATGTGCTTGTAGTCCCAGCTACTCAGGAGGCTGAGGCAGGAGGATCGTTTGAGCCTAGGAGTTTTAGGTTGCAGTGAACTATGATGATACCACATAGCACTCTAGCCCAGGCAAAAGAGCAAGACTCTGTCTCCAAAAAAAAGCTGTTGATATAATATGTACACAGGAAGGATGACTCCTGAAATCAGTATAACATGGTAGCTGGTATATTTTCAAGATGAGGAAAGTTATTAATAGAATAACAATCTCTTTTTCCAAAGGCAAACTGATCCACTCGATGGTGGCCCACCTAGAAGCTGTTACAAGTTTAGCAGTTGATCCTAATGGCCTCTACTTGATGTCTGGCAGTAAGTACATCAACTATAGATTATTTATTTGTCCTTATCATTTTCATGTTGATGTAATTTTTCCTTTCAATTTCCTTTTTTTGGTATAGGTCATGACTGTTCAATACGTTTGTGGAATCTAGAAAGTAAAACGTGTATCCAAGAGTTCACGGCTCATCGGAAAAAGTTTGAAGAATCGATTCATGATGTAGCTTTCCACCCATCCAAATGCTATATAGCCAGTGCTGGAGCTGATGCACTGGCTAAAGTCTTTGTATGACACGATGCATCATCTTCACCTTCTAGCTCTTTATAAATAATCAACTGCACAAAAGAGATACAGAAGACGAGGGCAAGTATCGACTCGTCCTGCCCTTTTGGTCTGCTGAAGGAGCACAGAGAACATTTGTTAAAGTATAGTTTTGCAATTCATATACTGTTTTCTAAAACTAAGGTTTGTTCAGGTTGCTGCAAGCTCGGCTGAATCTATGAGCCTGAAAACTTATAAATTTTCTCCCAAATAGGCGCTTTTATTTCTGAAGTGGTTCTAATTCGCTAGGCAGGCCTGAGCGAATGTAGGTTTAGCTTGTCCTTATTGAGTAAGTAGGGCATGCTACAATGGATAATTAAAAAGCTCAATAGCTGGGAATGAATAAAGGAAGAATGGAAACTTAGACCTAGTTCTCCTTTAAGAAATCTTATTAAACACATGAGGTAGTCAAAACAGTAATCTTTGTCATATCTACCATACTGACCCATTTGTGTATAATGACCGGCAGTGTTAACATGAGTTTTTGATTTAGCTCTCCTTTCAGCTGTTCACATAAAGCACCTGACAAAGCATTTTACCTATTAGGGGGTAAAAAAAAATGCAATAATATGTTAAATATATAATTATTAAGAAATGCAAAACAAATATTTAGTTTGCAAGCAGATTTCTATATTGTATTACCATTTTGAAAATAGATTTGGTATCATTCTAAAGTTTAGCTGTCAAGCACTCACCATCATGAAGAATAGTTGATAGAGTCTGCTTTTACTAAAGGATTTAACTTACACAGGTTTGAAATTCTGTTTATTTTTAAGGATAAACAGGGCATATCTCTATAATAATTTCTATTTTGAAATTCACTTTATTCCTGTGATATTTATAGTACCAGAGTGATTATTTCATATTGATGAAATCTTACCTTTCAGTGACTGAAAAGATGAAAGTTACTTGCTAATTCTCATCAACACCCACATAACCATGCTTCAGATGATCTCTGTTCTTTCTTCTTTGTCTCTTACTTACATATTATCTGACACCTACCAAAAATAGTTCATAATTATTGTTTTAATAGTCCAAAGAGTATGGTTAACCTCAGGCAGCTGCTTTTGCAGAAGTACTAATTAAAGCAAATGTTTTTGTGCTCCAGAAGTCCTCTATTAATATTTCCAAGAAGAAGAGCCTCCCAGAAATCTGGATAGAAGAGTTCAATGCCTATTATTGGCTAAAAAGTTCTCTGTCTCTCCCTCTATCTATCCCTCCCCTACTGTTTAATTGGATATACATGTTTTAGTTGGCAGTAAATCTATGTTGTTTCTGTGGAAAACCATATCTTAAAAGGCCAGGCTTCCCCAAACTCACCTTACCTGTGACCTACATGTGGTCAGCTTTTGGGTTTCCTATGACCCCACTGTCTGGACCTCATCCCTATCATAGAGACCTCATGCCTATAGCTGCCATGCTTCTCCTCATACTATTTGTTATTTGCCCCAAATGACAGAGACCAGTCTAGAAGTTATAAATAAATTATTAATGCCCACCTTTCACAAAAATGTATATATACAGTAGGCTCTCAGATTTAAAAAAAACTTATATCCATAAATATTTTAGCCTATTAATAAATTCCTACATTCCTATTCCCACATATTCCATTGTCATAGAAGTGACTCTTTTGATGATATGCACGTGTACTCCTTGAAGATGTATTCTAGGGGTGGTGTGGATAATAGTTGATAATATTTCTTTAAAATTTCTGTTTTCCTCTAAAATTCTGCAGTGTACAGGCAAATTTTCTTTAAAGGTCTAAGCTGAATTTGTCTGATTGTTATAAGATATGCTGTAGTGTTTTAACACAGCCACCTTTTCATTTCATCTTTGTGCTTTGGCTAACGAGCAGGCTAAAAGACTCCTTTTTATAATCAAATGAATTAACCCTAGACATAAGCTGCCAGGTGAATGTTTATATTTCTGTGCAAATATAGAATTCTACATTGTGTTCAGTAAATTTCTTTTGGTTCTTCATAGAGTGAAGAACGGTTATTGCTAACCTAACATTTAAAGAAGGATACTGGAAAATACCAGTTAGGTGCCCTTGTTATATTTATGATGGACAACTACAAAACTATTGATTGTTCTACCAGTTATTGCTTTAATTACCTTCTAAGATCATCAGTGCCTGTTTTACTAATGTTACTGAAATTCTGGAAACCAAGACACTCTCTTCTCCTGTTAATTTTATTCTTTATGGTTGAAATTTTTCTGTTAATGAGTGGGAAATAACCATGAGATATATAGACTATAGTGCAAATGATGGAACTGTTGAAAGTTCCTTAGAAAGCCAGTGCTGTGCCGTTGGAGACTGTACACAGAGAGTTTCTTCACTAGCACTGCATGATCTCAGCCTAGAAATGAGCCAAAGCTGTCTTCCAACCAGATAGTAGCATACATATGTGTCTGACTTTCCCCAGCCTATTGAAAATTCAATGAAAATTCACAGAACAAATTCAATATTCAAAGAGCTGTTGAAATGCTGTCATAGTGCTTGATTTGTAAATATTTTGGATGAAATGTATTGGAATAGTATGAAAATCAGCAGGAGGTTAAGAGTCCCTGCCTTATTTTCATATGCTATGGATACATCTCTGGGAGCTTGCAGCACCCTTCTCAAAACTCAGCTGTCATATGGAGCCCATTTGCTACTCAAACCATAGACAGATATTTAACATAAGTGATATAATGACCTTCAGTATTTTTCTATTGAACAAGTTTAGCAATTTTTGCCATTAAACAGATACTTAGTTATGCAAAGTATTTAGCTTTTATAATCATTTTAGTTATGACTAAAAGGGGGGAAATTGAGCTGCATCACTAATAATGAACTTTGTGAGAAATTTTTTGTTTATCTGACTTTCATTCCTTCAGTATTCTTGCTATAAATTTCTTTTGGAGATAATGATGAAGATTTATTTGAAAATGTCTAAAATGTATGTATATTTTATAAATATATATTATATATATTGTAAGAATATATATAATATATATAGACTATATATATAAAAAAAACCATAGGTGCATTTTACTGTTTTGTATTTTCATTTTTGGAGGCAGTGTACACAGCAAATAATGATGAGTATGGCGAGTGTTGTGCTGTTTGCTTTTGCAGTATAATATATAATTCTAAATGTTTAAATTGCTGTATATACTATATTCATTATAGGCTAGCATGCTTGTTTTAAAGATTGTCATTCTAGTTTATTAAAATCTGAATGTAAGAAAACCTGGCTATTCAAATGTGAATTGAAAAATATTCCATTCTCAGTACTGAACTATTTCCATTGAACATTCAGGCTTTTTAACAAAACAAATATCATCAAGAAGGCAATAGCTAGAAAATGAGAGGTGCCTTTAAAAAAAATACAAATGCAGCCTTACAGTGAGGATGAAGATTGAGTTGGGGGGGAGGGGGGACAGTGAGAGAGAGAGTGTGTGTGCGCGCGTCTGCACGTGCGTGCGTATGTGTGTTTACCAATTTGTGAAGGTCCTGATATGTGACCATCAATGTCTTTTTAATGTATCTGCTCAACTTCTAGGACTTCAGGGGACATTTCATGCACTGTCTCTGTGCTCTTCTGAGTACCATATATACTTTACAAGAATTTTGAATGTGAATTCCTAGAAATTTCAGTAGAGACAAAATAGCTGTTGTTTCATTATAGTCAAGTTCAGGTAAAAGGAAAAGTTATTGGTTCACCAAAATTATGGGATCTTATTAATGTTGGCTAAGTAAATACAGTTTTTAAAGGCTTACTTTTTTAGTACTTCATGTATTTTCCCCTTATACAAGAGCATGTTATGAAATTCCTATGTGATAAGATTCAACTAGTAGAAATTATTTTTAAACACCTGAACTAGTTAAAATTCCACCTAAGAATAGTCTTAAAGTATTTAAATGGCATCTCTCATATCTACCTCTTTGTCATTGCTGCCATTTTAACTAAAGCTAATCTTTATGACATCTGAAATGATGGTTGGATGCAATTTAAAAACCTATGTTGGTGCTGTTCTCAGGCTTTGTAATTTAAGTTATATTGTACTAAGATGTCACAAATCAGATTGAAAGGCTTAGAATTAATTTGGTTTTCTTTTGAAAAAATTGCTTAAAATTAATCATTAATGTTGTTAGTGAGTGGAGATAGTTAATCTCTGGTTGTTGTCTAACTGATGTTTTCACCCAAGAGCCAAATTATTGCTCAATTTACATGGAAAAAAGTTCTAAGTATAATTATATTCAGCTTTATTCTTTGAAAGCTATTTCAAGACTATTAAATACATAATCATTCATTTTATTTACTCAGAAGTTGCCTCCATTATTATGTTAACTTGTTTAGTTATTTATATAATTGCAGTACTTTAAGTGTTTGACACTGGGATTCAGGTTGTACAAATGTAGGAGCTGACAAAAATATGTATATTTTTGTGTAAAGTATCAATTCCTGAAGTTCATTCTAGGGGAAGGTCCAGAAAACTAACGTATCTGTGTTTAAAATAAAGGACAGGTCATTGGTAAATGATTTGAATCATTTTTACTTTTGCCACTAAAAGCTTTTTATTTGGCCATATCCATCATCCAGCTGGATCTCCATGTCAGTGTTCCTTTACACTGACATAGGTTCACAGAATATTGAACAGATCCTTTATATCAGTTTCTCTTTTGTTTTTTAAAACCTGTAAAAAAGCAAATATTAGGCCAAACAGAGATCCCTAGATTCCAGTCATTTATTCTAACAGTATTCCTGAAGTGGTGCTTAGGGGTCAGAATTTTCTGGATCTTTGCTAGTTAAGCTTTAGGTTTCATTGAACTGGGACCACCATTTAAAATGCTTGTCATCCCTCTGATTCAAATTTGAAAGTTCATTTTAATTTAGATTAACTTTAATGTCTGCCTAGTTTTTTAATAGGCTGTGAACCAGTGAGTGCCTTGTTAATGTAGAATGATTTTTTTCCTGGTTGTGTGTTAACTCCTCTCTGAAAATGTCTCAGAGAATGGTATTTTAATTGACTTGTAGAGAGCTGCTAAATTTGGCATTATCAGCAATCAGAAAGTCTTAGGTCTACCACATCTCTCTATCCCTACTTTCTCCTCATTGTTTGGCTAAAGTTTGCCTCTTGTGAGAAAACAAATAGAATCCCTTTCTCCACACACTTTTTTTCAGTCCAGATTAAGATGTATCCCTTAACCCCCACCCCATCTATATGATCTAATAACTGTTTTTAGGAGAAGCTACTTCTTTGTAATACTGAAATCTACAGGTTATTTTGTGTCTTCTCAACTTCAGTTTACTAGAGGTGACCTCGGGGTATCATCAGTTCAGATTCCTAAATAACCCTTTCTCTCCATACTCAAGCCCCAACTGGTGAGCCCTGGGCCAGATTGTTTGATCTTCAGGTATTTTAAATTTTAGTTATAATATCAATTAATGTACATTAATCTAAATGCTAATTTTTGTGGTGCAAGAAGTTTCTTTTGTAAATTCAGGGTGTGGATAAGCTAATTAAGGTATCCATTTTTGGTGGCTCGAAGTGTATTATTTGTTTTTAAATAAAGTGTACAAATATAGATAATGTGCTATAGGTGTCTCATGAATTGGAGTATTTGTCAGATTTGGAATCTAACTGTGGCTTTGCAGTGAATCAGTTAAATTAATATGATCTGATTTTGGGTTTGGGCGGGGGGCGTTGTAGAGAGGTACAGAGAAATAAAAGGGTATAGACAAAGCATATGAGTCCAAATTAATGAACCAGTCTTAATTACTGATTGTGAGGAAGGTGGAGAAGTTTATCACTATAGAGAATTTGGGCCTTTGGAAAGCCAGTAAATTTAAATTCCTAGTTAAGATCAGGTCAATGATACTTTCAGAGACACATATATTTTATTTATTTTATTTTTTTAAAGAAACAAGGTTTTGCTGTCACCCAGGCTGGAGTGCAGTGGCACAAATCATAGCTCACTGCAGCTTTGAACTCCTATCCTCAAGCGATCTTTCCACCTCAGCCTCTTGAGTTATTGGAACTACAGGTGGGCACTATACTCAACTAATTTTTTTTTAATTCTTTTGTGGAGAAGGGGGTCACACTATGTTTCCCAGACTGGTCTTAAATTCTTGGCTTTGAGCAAGCCTCAGCTTTCCAAGTCATGGGATTGCAGGCACAGCTACCGTGCCTGACAACACTTATATTTAATGATTAGATTTTGTGTTTTTCAAGTGTTCAGTTAAATAGTTTTAAAAATTATACACACAGAAATATATAAATTTAATGTGTTTTAATGTTTTCTTTGTTTGGCTACTTAACAGACAAGCATAAGTCTTCCACACTTCGCTGCCCCTTCAGATCAACATTATTATTCAAGGGCTTTGTCTGCCCAGAACTCACAGTTTATTTGTTCAGTCTGGAGCCACAATACAACATGGAATTTATAAAGGTTGACGCTATCCACTATTCTTTGATGTTCTATACGCTGTTGTAGAAATGAATGTTATAGCTTTTGGTACGTACACACGTTTTTCAGTAGCGTCGGAAATGTCCCTTCTAATGAGAATTGAGACATGATTTGCTGGAGGAATTTTGGGGTCATCTAGCTCAGAAGGTCAAGAAGACTGCAAAGTTATTCATGGATTGATGAACCCTATGGGGTCAGCCTAGGTTCAGAGTAATATTCTCACCTGCATTGGGTTTCCCAAGCACCCTGAAGTTTTGAGGTGTCCTGGGATTGTTGCGGTACATAAGGTATCCCTAGAATATCTGAGAGTCTAGCATACCCTTTAATACAAACACTATAATCGTGAAATATTCCCACACTTGTTAATTCTCATTTACGATGACCAGAACGCTCCAGTTTTGTAAAGAAGCACACACTAGTTTTGCAACTCTGAAAATTGGAATTCACGTTTCCTGGAACACAAATTCTAACGTATTATATTTTGTATACTTTCAAAACCCACCAAACAGGAAAATGACTCATTTTAAATATCACTCGGACCCTACAAAACTTCAAGCCCTTTCTTCCTAATCGGTATTATGCTAAAGGTAATGGTGGTTTCCGTCAGACTTGATGTGATTATTTGGGTAAAAAAATGCTGCAGTATCCTGCTGTTAGGAAGAGCCTATTTCTTAAGAAATACTCTTGTCCCTGGTGATTTAGCCATTTACCTTACCAGGTCCAGATGCCAGCTCCTCATTGACTTTTTCTGTGTACCTCTTTAGAGAGATAATTAACCTAGTGATCTAAAGGAGAGCCTATAGTAAAATATCTGTTAAGTAGCACTTGGAGTACTACAGTTTGTATTGTTAGTTCATGTGCCATAGTTTTTTAAGCCATTATAAGATCCAGTGTATGTACCAGGTTCCCAATCTATAACCTCAAAGAGAAGATTAAATTATATAATAGCATCCTCAAATTAAGGGTAATGATAGGGAAACGCATCATCCACAACAAAAATTCCCAAACTGAAAACTTTAAGAAAATGCACGGAAAGCAAAATTTTTAATTAATCATGAGTTGTAGAAAATAAGCAGCTTGTAGTTATATATAATGTGCTGAAATGTTAATGTATACTGCCATCCAACTACTTCCTTTTGTAAGTGGGACCAGGGCAGTAATTTTTAATACATAAAGAAGATTAACTTATCTTAGAGCAAAAGTAATTTCATCAGAAACAATTTGTTTTTTGGGTGATGATGTGGGGAAAGAAGTACCACAAAAGAAAAGCAGCTAGCCCCATGAGCCACATTGTTTTCCATTTCAACTTCAACGAGCTGGAAAGATGACTACTTTTGACCTCAAAAAGTGAATGGTACCATTTCTGGTTGGTTTGTCATTGATCCCTGTTATCTAAACAAAAGATTTATAGGAAAGATATCAACAATAGCCTAGAGCCTCCTGGCAAAGTGTCAGAGGGCATTGTTTTTATTATACTATTTTAGGGAGCTTCATCAACATAAGCTCAGGTGTGTTGTACCATCTGCCTATGTCAGAATGGAGACCAGACATGTGAGAAATGTCTTAAATTGGCCAAGTGATAATCTCATGAAAAAATAGGAGAATCATGTTTACACGGTGAGTTCTGTTTTGAATGGTTTTGCCTGTGCTTTTAAAAGTATTTTTTTAAAAGCGTACTTAACATCTTTTCCTACAGCTCACATAGTTCAGAGTATCCTCTTAATAGAATAATTTCACTGCAGGTGTTTTAGAAAAAGAAAAACTGTGGTCTCATATCTTTTGACAGTTGCTTGTGAATAATACCTACCCCACAAGTACACAACTACTATCTAAGAATGATTTCTTATGTGGTAAAGGTCTCAGTATTTTGCTGACTGGAAAACCAGTATTTTTGTGCATAGCTTGCAGGTAAACATGGAGCCTTGTGCATTTGATACATGTTAAAATGAATAGAACATTAAGCTATAGCATCTACACACCACTGTCTCCCGTGAATAATGTTAATAGCAGTGTCCTCTCAGAGCTAACTTTAAGGTTAGGTTTAAGGTTTAACAACTTTAAGGTTAGGTTCTGCCAATTACTTTTCACATGGATTTTGAAAGTATGCAGGTTAAACTAAAGCAACATTAAATAATAATTTAAATAATCTAAATTCATTTAAGTGGAAACATTGTTTTTCAGTGAAGTAGTACCTATTCTGCTCCCTTGTATATCTCAAGGTCAAAAGGGATCAAACTTTCTCCCAACTCTAAAACATTAAGATTTTCTTTTATTTCTTTTGGTGGTCAGCCTTTTAAACAGATAACACATCTACTGATTCCAATTTTTTAAAAAAACAAACAGATTTCTTTCTCTTTAGAAATATCATTGCTTTCTGGAGGTAGAAATTACTTTTAAACTTGAAGATTGTAGATCCAGGCAGTTTTGTGCCTTCAAACATACAATTGCTAATAATTTTGCTAATAAATACACAAAAGTGATTTCCTGTGATTTTCAGAAATTATTTTGAGAGTTCAAAGATTGACAAGAAATATATAAGTTTATATTCTGCATTATCTTTCAAAATCTTCTGGGTGTGTTTTGAGTAATGGGGAGCAGGTAGTGATGAAATTTTTTCTGAATGTCTTGATTCTTCCCCTTCTTTACCCCAGATTTTACATATTAAGGGCTGTTCTTTGTCAACAAAACAGTGAATGATTATTTGTTTGCTTCTGTACACAAATATAAACTTCTTGAGGCAGGGACCATGTTTGTTTTTTTTATATTCCCCTTAGCATGTTGTGTGCAGCCTAACATATATTAATAAAAAGTACTCAATAAATGTTTTTTGAGAATCAGAGAGCCCCTTTCAAAACTGTAAATCTATCCAAATCATCAAAAACAAACAAAAATCCCTGCCAGTCCCTAGGTGATGGTCAAAAGCATTTAGATCTGTGGAACTGATAAGAGTGAGGTGTGCATCCTGATTAGAGCAGAATTTGGAACTCACCTCAAAGGTGGCAGTAGAATGGCCAAGTTAGCGCCCTCTCTATGGGGCACACTTCCAGTCTGGCCTGCGTGGGAACTGAGCAAAGCATGTTAGGGCAAAGGAGGAGTCTCTCTAAACCATGTTAATGGCCTCTCTTCAGTCCCTGCTCCCTCTTCTCTCCTCCCTCCCAACTCACTGGCCTCTGATTCTTTGAGGGGAAGCTTCCCCTCTAGCCTAGAGCCTGAGGCTTCCTTGACTGTCCTGGGCCCAGATAGTCCCACCTCCACTCTTTCCTTGAGACCCACAGATGGTTGTACTATTCACGACTGACTTTTTCTCCAAGGGGGTAGAGGAACATCCTCCCAGTGGAAGTTTATCTGGAAAAGCTTCCCTCTGGGGACCTTGCTTTGGAGTTGAAGACTCTGGGGCAAAATCCCTCAGGGTATTCTCAGGGTTGTTTTTGTCTTGAAGATTTTATGGTAATTATCCAAATGTTTATTAACTCTCTAGGAGTATCTCTATGTCTGATTTTCTCACACCTTTGGAGTGAGGCCCAGGTGGCTTGAGAGCTTTAGCTAAACAGCTTAATTGTTTTAGGAATGAAATAACCAACAAGTTAGTTGGTTAATAACCAACAAGCTTATTTATATTTAATGACCAGTTGACTTTAAACCATTAAAATAATCATCAACACAATGAATTATGTATGAAATATTCAACTGAATAAATCTCAAATTTGTACTTTTCTCACCTTTAAATTATTATAAATATTCCTTTAAGATCAGTTCAGCAGCAATGAGCAGGAATTTGGCCTGGACACAGGATACTTACTGTCTGTCAGACTTTAGACCAGCTAAGACTTCTGGATTGGTTTCTTATCTGTGAAATGGGGTTAATATTAATAAATCTGCCTATTTAGGTTGATTTGAGATAATGGATGTAAAACACCTGATAAAATTTAATAAGCATGCATCAAATAACTATTATTCACTCTCTGAATCCAGACTTCTTGTCATGTAGTTCTGTCACACTCCTGATAGCTTCTAGAGTATCAGGTATTTAGGAGAAATAGGGTTAAAATGAATATCAAGGATAGAATAATATTACTTAATATTTGGGTGCCTGCTACTGGCTCTACAGTTGCTGGCAGTCAGTAGAAAAC